TATTTAAACGTACACATCGTACAACGTTTTTGTTACTTTCGTTGTTTAATTTGTTTTAAAATAGCGCTAAACGGATTAGATATAAATACATTAGATAATGTGAAAGCAGCTTGCTTAGTTTATGCATTGTATAAAAGATTGCAACAACGAAAGGAGAGAAAAAAAATAGTAACTAACTGTCGATGGTAGGTGCACCCACTAAACCTTAAAAGGCATCAGCTCAGGAAGGTCGATTAAAGCAGGGTTGAAAAGTATAATACGGTATAGTATAAAACACGTATTATACTGTATAAAAATAAAATCCCTTATAAACAAGAAAGCATTTATAATTTAAACACAATAAAATAAGAAAATATAAATTATAAATAAACAACTGTGGTGCTATTAATCTATTGTTAATAATTATCATTATTTTATCACGGACGTATTTATAGTAAATTCATTGTACTTGGGATGTTTGTAACACTTTTAATATTTTATATTAATAGATTATAAATGAAAAACTTAAGTAGATATATTACATAAAATAATAGTAAAATATATTTTTACAATATATAAAATTTAAAAAATTTACTTAATATCTGAAATCGGAATTATGTTTAATTTTTAAGAGTGAACTTCAAAAACCAATCGAATTATACGTTTTAGTCATTTTATACGTTTTATACTTGGGATATTATATGTGTAACGTACAAAACATTTTATACACGTATATTACCAACCCTGATTTAAAGTTACTTTTTCTGCATTGAGACAGCATCCAGAAGAATTTTTCAAATATTTTCGTAACTGATTCATAATCAGTGATTATAAACCGAAACGCTGCAAAATGCGACGTCGCAAACGTCCAGTGTGAATACAAAATGGAAAATACAATGTTTAATTTTACATGTTGCCGCGTCTAAAATGCTCAAAATTAAACTTGCGCGTTTCAAAGTGTTCAGACGCGCTGTTTTTTCCCTAATGTGAACATGACCATAATATTATGTTGATGCGTATTTGATTTTTGGCGTTCGAACGCCGCGTTTAAAACGCTACGTCGAAAACGCGTAGTGTGTAACCAGCTTAACATCTAATGGTTTGGCTTCTTGGACGGAAGGGACCGGGGAGAATAACCCGCGTATTATAGACGCTATTGAAACTGGGTTCACGACAGTAATTTTTGGTCGCTGTACACCGTTTACTGCGAATTCGCAGTTAAAAAAAATTGCAGAATTGAATTAGTTTTTTTTTTTAAAAATTTACAATTAAATTAAGTTAAAAATATTAACTAAATATTAAATAAAGTTTTAAGTATAATTAATTTTCCAATAAAAGGGTTTTTCTTGTTCGTTGTTGTATGGAGTTTATGTTAAATAATTTAAGTCTCCCCAAAACATTTACTACGAGTCACTAATGTTACATTAGCTAATGTGAAGTAAAATAGCTTTTACAATATATTTTAAAATAAGATTGTATTAACATAATATATAAGAGAGTACAAATTGTTGATTGTAGTTCAAAAAAAATCAGCCTGTAATCTAATACTCATACATTTTTCTGTTTATTGACTCATTCATCCTTACGAATAATATAATGAAGATATACAATATATTAAATAAACATAACTATAGAAAATTCCATTTGAAAAAAAAACAATGTCAATAGGTCTATTCATTATATATATCTATAACATTCACTAAGAGGGACTGCCCAAGTGTAAAAAAAAACACGACTGCATTAAAATCACTTCAAGTATTTATATTATAGAATAATTTAAATTTAGTTATTCAAAAAGTATGGTTATTAAATGGTCATACAAACTAATTATTTTACATATAAATTTAATTTAAACACGAATTGTTTTGAGTATTTTACTTTATTTTATAGTAGAGAAAGTCATTCTGGTCATGCTTCTAAGATTCAGACTAAGAAAGATTACAAAAAATAATTACTTCCAAACATAAAATTATCAAGCCATTCAAAAAAATGTACGAGTATAAAAATGTTGTTTGTAAGATATAAGTTATATAGGTAGTTTAAATTTATAAAAATATCTTTTGACATGTTCATAATATGTAAATAATGATTAAGTTTTTAAATAAATGACTTAGCTGTTTAAATAAGTATTTGTTTTTAAACTGATTTTTTTTTTAAATTAATATTACAGCTTAATAGTGAAAATCCGAACAATAACATTTATAATTTTAAATATTATCAACTAATTTAAAAACTGATTTATTTTTTTAAATGAATGAGTAAAATGTCAATACTACTATGTACTATAATATGTGAACATTAATTACAATACTTATCAATCATATTTATGGTGTACTAAATAATATCTAATAAGCTCGGAAGTGTTAGCAAATGCATATTTTTCTTGGTTCATCCTAGAACATCCATAGTAAGATACAAATATGTTTCTCATTACTCGGATATCATATACAAAATTTAATTTTGCTATTTTTTGCAAATTTACGAGTTTCATTGCTATTTTGCTAATTTAGGGTTTATAGTGCTATTTTCGTGTATATTTTAATGTAATGTAGGAAATAATCACATTTTGTTGTTAATAATTGTATTTACTTGGTTATATTTTTAAAAATAATTTAATTATTGGAAATAAATAGACTTCATCAAATATTATTTCATGTTTTCATTGACAATTTGATGTATTAATAGTTAGTGACGTCATTGTTATTCCCTTATTATATCATTACATTCATAGGCGTGCGCAGACCTCTTTTTTAGGGTATGCAAAAGGCTATCACTGCCTACACCCCCCCTCCACTAAAACTGTAAGATAATTTAAGCGTTCGAAATTCTGGTTCTTAATAACTGTTTAATTTAAAATTTTAATTTTTTTTCTTGAAAAAATTGACTGAATAGCCATTTCTTAATCGTTATAGCTGTCTTCATAATAAAAATTTAAAATAAATTATGAAAAAAAAAAATTAAATACATAACACTTGAAATGGTTTGAGTAATACGTTTAAATAAGGTAAATAAATAAAAACGTAATTAATTATATACTTAAATGAAAAACAAAATAAATTTGATAAATAATCAAAATTAATCATAAAACGATTCTGCGTACAGTTGGGTTCTATAATATCACCAATAATGTTTTCAGTATTTTAATTTATAGCCATTTCTTGTTCTGAAGTTGATAGCTAGTTAATCTCGCTTGAATTATTGTACTTCTTAATTTCATTAACACATTAAATCGTTATTATAGCATATGATTTGTGTTTCAAAAATGAATTAAACTGTCTGGGACTGAATATAAAAATATAATAAAAATCATAATGTAATACGAAATCACATAATATACATAAAACCAAATATGTCATAATTTTTATTTAATTTTTGTAATTTTGGATAGAAGGCTCTATGTTTAGTGTATGCAGTTGCATATTCTGTATACTTCTTGCACATGCCTATGATTGCATTAGATTATCAAACATTTTAATAATCTAGGATAATTTCCAAGGTAAATATATAAAATAATTTAATAATAAGTACATTTTTACAAATATATTTAAGTAATTTAACATTTTATAATTCAATCAGTAAAGACTATGTCTAATGAGCTTAACAATTTGTAAAATTACATTTTTTTCAAGTTAAATGCATATTTTTTGATTTTTCGTGCTATTTAAGGTGCATATTTTAGATATTTTAAGTATATATTAAGAACTAAAACGTAACATTTTTAATGCTACAATTTCCGAGCCTTGCTTATAAGTAATGGTGTTAAAAAAACAAACACCAATTAGATTTCCAATTTCAATAAATGATAGCAATATAATCTTCATTATGTTGTCCAATGTAAGATCAAAATAAAATTTTTTTTTTTAAATATCTATCTAGGTACATCATTTTTCAAATAAATTCATGTTATATGCAGTGCTCGATTTGAGGGGGGACGCAGGGGAACAAAGTACCCCAACTAATTTTCAGAAATTTTAGCGTCCCCCAACTATTATTACGTTATAATCATAACGCTCAGCTAGTTTTGGGGATGTTCTTTTTTTTAATATAAATAGAGTCCCCCTTCTTTAATTTTTCCAAGTCGAGCATTGGTTATATATACTAATTGTATTATTGCTGTAAATAACCCTTTGAATATACATTTATCTAAATGAACTTATTTATACATTTTAATACATATTACTATTTTATAATCATTATTAATTTACTTAAATTTAAAAAAACATATTTAACATTTTTTGAACTACTAGCTTCATAAAATTAATTCAAGTAACTAAAAGATATTGTATTTTTTCAACAGAGTCTAAAAAAATATATATGCTTTAAAAATAATATGAAATGATAAATAAATATATGAATGGAGTGAAATAAGAATAAGGACATTTTTATCTTATCGAACATTACAGAAATATATTGAGTAGAATATAAAAGGTGAGGTAGAAATAATTACCAACTATAAAATAACTTATTTCAATCATATTAATGACAGTTAAAAATTTCAAGAAACATTTTTTCTTTTTACTTATTTAAATAGAATTTAATTTATTAATAAAATAATTTGAAACAATATTTTGATATTAATCAAGTTATTTAGATACATAACATAATAATTTAATACAACTATTTCAATTGTTCAAGGGCAGATTCAGTATCTATTTACGGTTGGATCACTTTAAAGAAAAAATTATATATATATTTAGAGAATTATAAGCATATATAAGGGTGTCTTGAGGGCTTAGACTCCTCTCAAAAAAAAAAAAATGACAATACTCTACTAAAACTGTCAACATTTATTATTATTCATTCATTCTAAATATACTTTATTTTTAATAGTATTTTACAATGGGGGTGTCAATTATTCCCAATATCCCCTCTTTTATCTGCCATTGAAATTGTTGAGTTACCAACAAAAGAACTTCTATTAAATTATTATTTGTATTAAAATTAACTATAAAACAATGCTATTTTTATTGTAATATTTTTGCCTACTGAAATTTTCAAAAATAATATACACAACAACTTACCTTAGGTAAATCATAGAGTTTTTGGAGTTCTTCTAATAACCACATTTCAACAGCTAAACGTTTTCTTATTAGACTCATTTGATGAGCACCATACTTAGCTGTTAAAAACTTTTCACGTTTTTCTTTAACTTCTACTTTTTCAGTAAAGTTCACATGTAATCTAGATTTTGCTGGACTTCTATTTGCCGATACTGAAGTATTTGGTTTTGCAGAGTTATTATTGTACGTCGAGGCTAAACTACACTCCATAATAGTTAATTATAATTTAAGCCACAGCAATAAAAAAATTAAAACAATTTTTTAACGTAAAAATTAATTTGAAAAAAATATTAAAAACTACAACAGAAAATATAGAACTACCAATTATTTAAAAGCAGTAAAATACGTACAAAGAGTTTACAACATATTTTAATTATTGAAATTCTTAATCACAAAAACAACGTACCTACAAATATACGCAACGACTGTTATCAAACTAAACTGTATGCAACTGCTATATCGCTAAAAAATATTTCAATAAATAATGTTTCTGCTGGTTATAAACAGGATGCCAAATTCCCAAATCTTTAAACAGTGTTACCAAAAAATTACTATATAAAGCGACTTATATGCTTAATATTTAAGGATATTAATACCGATAAGAACGTTAAAGCTTTTGAAAACTGAACTGTAAATTGTTGTGTCTAGGCTTTTTGTTTCTATAAGATGATTGTGTTAAAATTAAATTTTAACGATTTACAATTTGAGACAGTTAATTTAACTGTAAATCAGTATACAGTATAATTGTGGGTCGTATGTTTTAAGTATGGATTTTTAAATACTTAAAATTCTATATTAATCTAAGATTAAAAATTATAACTGATTTATTGAACTAAACATAGATTCATAATATATTTTATTCAACAATTCCAATAAATGTTGAAAAAAAAAAATATTAGATTAATTTTTATAATATTCTAGAAAATACAGACATTTTCTAACATTTTTATTATTTTATAAGTAATAATTTAGTTTTCATAATCACTTTAAATTAATATAAAATAAGAATGATTAGTTGGTATGTAAATAATTAAACTGAATGTATTTAAAATATATAAATATATATATTTATGTATAAATCTTATTTAAGTTTTAAATGTATTCACATTATTTTAGTACTTTAATATACAAAGTTATTACACAAATATTATATAAATAGTGGGTTTACAATCAAATTAAATAATAATTAAATTATGAACATATTTTATTAATTGTTTCCCATGGTAAGAAAAGACTTTTAGTGTATTCATATGCCAAATGTGGATCTGCCAAAGCTGAAAAATTTTTTTAATTAATTAATTATTTTTGATAAATGTATTTAGTATTTATTTAATTATGATTTAGTATTTATCAGAATAATTTGATGACAAATGTGTCTATTGCTATTTTAATAGAATATAATACCATATGAAACAAATAATTAAGCATTTTGATTTAAAATAGAAATGAGAATAAAAATATAAATTACTGATATAATTTAATGCATTTATTCGTACATTTTCTGTTTGAAAATATTTTTTAAATTAAAAATTATAAATAGTAAAATTATACATAAATTATTAATTTCTAGAAAAATAAAACCATATAGATATTAAAAACATATATAAAAAAAGATAATAGAATAAAAAAAATGTTTATTCAATAAATATTTTAGTACTTATGCAGAATTGAAACCAAAAAGCTTACCACATTCGGGTATTTTAGATTTATGAGGAATCTCCAATAACGTGCAATATGCACTTTTAATTAATTCAGTTTTTGAGTCTTGAATATTTGAGGAATCCCAGCATACTTTAATTGATATTCCTTCTGTAATAACAAGAACTAATTAATTTTATTAATTCAACTAATCTAAATTTTTTTTTACCTTTTTCCCAATTTTGAATTATAGAATTACATGACATATCAATTGATGAAGCAAATAAAAGAGGAATTAGTTTTGGTCGATCATTTAATGTTTCCTTGCAACAAATAGTAGTACTTGCTGATTCAATAAATAATTTTAATTGCCAACAATAAAAACTACTAGGTGGTTGAGGTAAATTACTTAATGTCTAAAATAACATAGTTATTATTAACACTTTAGCTATATAAAAAAAAAAACTTATATACCTTCATTATTGGCATCCATAAAGGTAATAAAAATATTTTGTCATGAACGATACAATTAAATAATATTTGAGCATATTGTCGAATAACAGATACTTGAGATACTTGATAAGGATTGTTAACCTTATCCCCACTCAGATTTAAAAAGTAACGAACCATTTGAACAATTTTTGGATCAGAAGAAAATCCATAGATGGTTTCAGGCTGTAAATTAAAATACATATTTTAAAATAGTTCAAACCATCTAAAATTTGTTTATAAAAATTAATTTACCATTTTAACTTACAGAAATAGACCAGGAATTAAAATCATTTGAACTCAAAGTTTGGGCGATGAGAGATTTGTAACCATTTGGATCTTCTGAATATGATAAGTGACCAGCTTTATGCTTGACATTTAAATAACTGACATTGTCCAACATGTTTCTAGAATTGAAATTGTTATTAAGAAATACAGTAGTCACTCGATAATTCGAAATTCAATGGATTAAGCTAAAAATTTGATTTAGAGAGGTTTTTGATTTACTGAGTGTTCGAATAATCGAGGGAAAAAAATGAATATAATATATATATATATATTAATATAATAATTTTCTCTGTCTGATCCTTAATGATTAAGGTGTTAATGTAAGAGGGTCCTTTTGTTTGAGTATAGTTGAAAGCGTAAAAGCTGGCTGGTTACAAAAACGTAGAGCAACTTCTTTTTTTTTTCACCTGCCTCAACCACCATGATCACTTTAATTTTTTCGGTGATCGACAAACACTAATATTTTACAGTACCCATATTCCAATTGGCTACGTTTTATTCAATTTCAACAACTGTTTACCCATTTTAGAGGTTTATTTTGGTAAAATAATATGATTAAAGTCTAGATTAGGTAGGTAAGGTACAAAACAATTTATAAACTATGTTAATATTTAATCGCCGTCGTTATTAATTTCATTGCAAGTATGTCAAATAGCTGTATATAATCTTTAAACATATGAACATATGTCTAACTACGTCAAAGCAAATTTGAATTATAGAGATTATGAAAAAAAAAATTTGAATTGCAGATTGAGTTCCACAAACAGAAATTTTGAATTATTGAGGGGACTGGAATACAAGTATTATCTTCTAATTATAGAGGTTTTCTCAGAGGATTCAGCGTTTAGTTCGATTTATAGAGTTATTCGAATTATCGAGTGACTACTGTATACACAAAATTATTAAAAGATAATTTAGAAATAAGACATAATAATATTCATATGAGAGCAATAAAAGTAACAAAAAAGAAAATAATAACAATTTTAAAATAAGTCATACAAATTACTATAACATAATTAACATAAAATTGTATTGAAATATATTCTACAATTTTTAAATTTAGTTTAAAATAAATTCAACACTTTCTTACTCAAGCTTATCCCAATTTCTATCACGTTCAAATACTATTGACCAATATCTTCCATCTTCAACACGTACTTCTTTTAATAATGATAATTTAGGTAATAAACATGGAGCTTTAACAGTATAATGTTGATTTTGGTAATATTTAGAATCAAGGAATATAACTTTTAAATGGACATAACACAAGTCTCCAGAATCAATGTCTCTTGGTAATATGATTCTAGGTTCAGTAGCTAAAATATAAAGATGTCTGAAAGCTTGCAAATGATATCTGTATCATAAAAAAAAAAAAAAAAAAAATCAGATAATATTTAATTTGTTATGTTATAATAAATGTTACCTATTGTCATTACTATGAATTGGAAATTGAGGGTAAAATGCAATTATAAGTGCAGCTATTGCTTCTGAAGTTGTCGAAAGAGTATACTTTCCACCACCCAAAAATAATAGTCCTAAAGCCATATGGGTAGCTAAATGAGATCCATATGTAATAACATTATGGGGAGAAACACTAACTCTTGATCTCAAATATCTACAAATACGCAATACTTCTAAATCGCCAGTACCTGCCATTACCTAAATAAAAATAAATAATATAAATGTAGAACATCTTAAAACTCAAAAGGAAGTCAACTTTAAGATCTCCAATATCAAATATATTTAAATTTTTTTTAGAACAATACAGCAATCACTTACAAATGTATTATAACTTTCCAAAATTAATGGAAATGATTAATCGATATAAAATGTTTGCAGTATGCAAGGTATTTAAAATAGATATATTACCAATAATTTACCATAGATAATGATATTAGTGTAACATTTATACAAGTTTCAATAGTTGATTTTCCACAAAGTTCAGCTACTGATTTACTACATAATGATATAAACATTTGACAATAAGATAAAAGAGTATTAAAAGCTTCTTCATTAGCAGATCCAGCAAAACGCAAACCCATTGCCATACTACAGCCAGCTACAATGTTACAGTATGTTTGACTAAAAATAATTATATTATTAATATTTATAGTACATTTTTAATTTAATTAGATATTTTATATTTAAGATACTTGATAGTTTCTAAATCAGGATTTGCTATCCCTGGTTTAGGTTTGACCAAGCAATAACGTCGAATGGATTGGGGAACAAATTGTTCAATCCAATCTTTTGTGGGTAAAATGTAATCCCACATTATTAGACCTCTGGCTAACATTTTAAGTAATATAAATTCAGGATTAGTAAAATCTAAAAGATATGGGGAATCTGGTATACTCATCCAATTTGCTACAGCTCTATAAAATATAAATTTCAATAAATTAAAATTTAATAATTATAACAATTGTAACTTACTGATTTCCTGTTTTGAAATACATCATTCCTAAGGCTAATGTAGCACCTCTTGCAGTAACATTTACATTTACCATTTCTCCTTCACGAATTTGATAACTCGGATTAATATATTTATCTTTTTGTGCTCCTAAACCAAAATGTAGTAAAATATTGGTTATAGATTATTTCATCATTGTATAATATATCACAACAATTAAAATTTAAAAATTAAATTGTAAATAAATATATGAATAATTATTATAAATAACATTTTTTCTTTTTTAATTTAATTATTTTCATTACCTGTTAAAGGTTTTTTATGTCCTCCAACCATATAATAATGTAACGTATCAGCAATTGATAAATCGCTAAGTCCAACAACATCAGAACCTTTTCCTAACACAACTAAACCAAGACCAAGACTAGCTGCTAATGAATAAGATTCTCTATCAATACTATTATCCATTTCTGGACCAGGAGGACGACCTATCTCAGACAATAATGCTTCTGCTATATGTCTATGTGCAGTTTTTTGATAGAGAAGACCTATACTTAATAATGCTGCTATTTGTAGGTTTTGACTCATATCTAATTCAATTGTAGTTGGTGGTAATAAAGATTCTATAAAGATGCATAACATACGTGTTATTTCTGTGTCCATAGAACCTGATAAATATAATTAAACATAGATGAATGTTTTTATAAAAAATAATTGGTTTTATTTTAATGTTAAATTAGAATAATTATTGATTAACATTATAATAATGTGATTAATATATACATGATAATTAGAACATTACCTCTTTTAGCCGCTGCTAATCCAATAAGTATGGCAATACTGATCATTTCATGGGATCTACATAGATACTCATAAGTATTCATTGTAGCTAAGTTAGTAATATGTTTATTCAATCCTAATGCCATAAGAAATCCTGCATGTTCAGGTAATGCTTCTGGAGTACTCTGAAAAATTGTATATTAAATTAATATACATAAAATTATAAATTAAATATTATGATAGAATACTTTTGGCTTATTATATAAAATCCAAGTAGAATCAATATTATCAGCTGAAGGCATTATTCGTAGTCCAGCAGCAACTCCATTATGAAATAATGGCCAAAGATTCATGTTAGGAACAACATCTATGTGACTTAGTTCAACTGCAGCACCTCGTGGAGTTTTACCAGACAAACAAAGTTTTGGTAATGGTAGTGGTTCAGTAATAACAGGTTGGATCGATCTCATAGTGAACATTCCTCTATTTAAAATAAATTAGATTATACTTAAGAATTAAAAATATAAAATACTATAAGATCAATAATTATATCAGTATTACACATTAGTTACAAAGAATCTGATATAATCAATAAAAACTATTAAAAGTTTACACAAAAAATTAATAAGTAATTTTAAAAAGATGTAATAAATTATTTGTACTTTAAGAACATATTTTAAAAACCTTTCCTTGATGAAATTTGAAGATTTAAACAACATGCAAACATTTAAGTAACTAAGTAATAACTAATAATTTTATTTCTATATATATATCTCTTAAAATTCCAAACTAGATTAATTTTCATTTGAAAATTTGTAATACACTTTATTAAAGAGAACATTATTAATTATATTTTTTTTGTATAAATATTCATAGTTCAACATTATTTACAGAATAAATATTTTTTCTTTTACATTTTGAACTAAAATATATAATGTATAGAATTAAAATATATCATAGATAACTTTATTAACTTATGAGTTATTATAAAAATTCAATTTAACAGTATATAATTGTACTTAAAAATGTATTTAATAAAATTAAATTTATGAAATATTTTGATTTCTTGAAATGTTTACTGTTCTCCATAAAATTCCAACAAAATAAGAATCTATTGTAAAAGATTATTATTATTAAATCATATTAAATAAATTTCACCTTCCAATTGGTAAGGCCATTGTTCTTGAACATATAGAGTACAAGTATTTTTCCTGTTCTTCAACAAAGTCATGGTCACTAGCTTCTGGTGGTTGTTTTATTCCTATGGTCACTGGATGACAAGACTGTAGACAATTTCTTACATCTGTGATACGATGATCATGGTTCCATAGCAGTTTCATAATCTATGATAAATAATTAAAAAAACAAGTACTAGTATTTTAATTATTGGTAACTTAAGAAAATTTATAAAATAATTTTATATTCAAATTTATGAAGAATTAGCATAAAAAATTAATGATATCTCATTATTTATACCTCATCATCCAGGTTTTCCATGCCATCTTTTACAATATTACTATTTGTTTCACCAGCATCATTCCAATCAATCAATTTTTCAACATTAATAGTTTTAGATTTGTTTTTATTGGAAAATGTATTTAATGTCTGGAATGCTAAATCTTCCCGCATTATTAATTCATATGTTGATTTTGGCCAATTTGTAGGAGGATTTTCTCTGCATTTATCAATAACGTCACATAATAAGATTGCAACTCCAGGTGGATAAGTTAGTAAAGTTTGTTGTGTAATTCCTATAAAAAAATTAATTAACAATTTTAATTTACTTTAGTGAACATAAATAAATTAATGAAAATAGTTTGTAATATTACCAATTTTTGACATAAAATAAGTGACTTGATGATATTTTGATATTTTACATTTTAAATTTATGTTTTTTAAAGAAATGATTTCATTTGTATGGGTTTTTACACCAGCAGGATTAATGACTTTCATTAGTGCTTTCATGTGAGATTTCTTTTTTAAACACAGTGAACCATATATCTATGTAAATAATAAATATGAAGAACTTATAATTGATTAAACAATACTATATAATTAATATTCAGGAAATGGAAATTAATATATAAATATTTGTTTCCTATTACTATAAATAATACTAATTATATGTTGTACCTGAATTATATTTTTAGTCCTTCTATTGACATTTTCTATGCAAGGATAAGGATTGGCTTTATAATATTTCATTAGTAAGAAACACAATTTAAATATATCTGGAGGACTTTGTTCAAAATATGGTGGAATTATTAATTTCTTCATATTTTCATTACTCAATTGATTAGACTACACAAACATATAACATTTATCATTTAAATACATTAAAACAATATTCATGATTGTTTTTTGTAAAGCAGGTGATATATACTTACAACTGATGATAAATTATTTCTGTTACAAATCAGTGGATAATCTTTCCAATAATGATAAACATATTCTTCTAATTTTAAATCAGTTGCTAATTGATATAATAACTGCACAATCATTGGCAACAAATCATTTTTCAATGTGTTGAGTTTTAAATCCTTGAAAATTAATTAACATAAATAAAATATAAAAATGTTTTAATTTTTTTTTTTATAGAATACATACTTCATATACTAAATGCAATGAAAATAATATATCATAGATGTATGGAAATAGTACGGCATTTGTATCAATATCATTTTTTAAAATTGTATTTTGATGATGAAAACTTAAAGGATAATTTTTTGACTTATTTTTCAACCCAAGGGAAGCTGCTATTTTATCGCCACGAAGATTATTAAAAGATGATTTTAACATATATGTCCAATCTTCATCACTGCCTATATCTAAAACTCTTTGCTTCTTTGACTTTGCTGGAGTATCGTTATTTGCATTTATAGAATCATGAGTTAATGGTAAAGACTCCAAATTATAGCCTATTAATCCAAATAACATCTGAAGAAATAAATTCCATTCCTCTTCACCTGATATATTTTGTGTGCCTGGTGCATTTCTAACTGTATACCATTTTGTCATAAACTCCATAACAATTGATTTTTGAAGAACATTTTTAAGTGTGTTTAAACATTTAGTAACTATAAAATAGAATTATTAGATGAAGTATATTAATAACCAAAATATAAGTAATTTATACTTTTTCTATTACAAACCTAATGGCGAAGAACTAACAACAGGAAAATCAACTCGAATCATACTTTCATCTACATGAACCTAAAAATTACACAAAATTCACATTTTGTAATAGCTTACAAAATGAAAATAGTACATACCAATGTAACACGAGAAGCTATTGGATCTCTTAATTGTTTTAATTCCAATTTTGATGTAAAACAACTTATTGAAGATTCAGAATATGGTGTTTCATAATGCACAATAAACTGTGATTCATACTCATAAGGCGATGAAATAATACTAGCATTTTGATTTGACTGAATATCCTCATTTCTTGTAGATGACAATAAACTTTTTCGACTATATTAAAAATTATTATAATATTTAAAAATCAAGAAATTAATACAAAATATTGTAAATAAATAACTTTCATGAAAAATTTACTTAATTAAGGGGGTCCCAATAGTTGACTTATTTTTTGCTGTAAAGTAAGAAGTATTTTCATCAAATGCTGAAGACAAACTTCCAAATTGAACCGAGCCAATTATTAGTATCCCAGAGTACAGTGAAATATTATTTTGACAATCCATTATTACAGTTAAATGTCTTGCCTAGATTAAAATAAAATGAATAAAATCTTCGTAATAATAAAGTTAATACAATAAAAATGCTTTACACACATACGGTCTTACAAAAAGATTAGATATACAATAAATAATTACTGGTAAATATGCGGCATCTTTTGCTGAAAGAACAGTAACATCTCCTAATAATATATCATTAGTATTTATTTCTGAATGTTCCAATACAACACATATTAACTGTTTTTTAGAAGGCAATAAATAACATAAAAATTGTTCTTCAACAAAATTCGAAGCAATAAATACTCTTGTAGAAGCACATTGTACTTGATTCCTAAACATCAATATCTAAGTTACATAAAATTAAATAGATTTTTAAAATAGTATAGCTTTAAAAATAATTTTGTTATGAAATTTAAGATTAATAAATTTAAAATAAATTATAAATAAAATTAAGAAAAAAATGTTTATAAATGGTTAAAAGTAATGTAAAAATATATACCCCATACTATTTTGATTTTCAGTCCACATGTATTCTAAACAAATATCAGGACTAACTGGTTTAGAATTGTTGTCTCCATACATGCTTCCATGACCAAGTCTAGCATTAACTATACGAGACATAGAGGATGGTGTGTTATATGCTTGACTATTAGTAATTGTAGCATTTGGATGCCAACTTCTCCTTGAAGTATTTGATGGACTATTCCAAACAGAGGAATTGTAATGACTAAAAATTTTAATTATTTTAAAATTAATATCAAAAAATTATTATTTTTTTTTTATATGATAGATAAAATGTTAAATATAAACCTGATTGCAGTCATTGGGCTCAAAGTATTAAATGGTGATATTATATTAGGAGTACTTCGTCTGTTAAAAGTAAATGGACTAGAATTCACTGGGTGGTTTAATGATAATCTAAAGTAAAAAATAAATATTTATGAATTAATTAATATAGACATGCATTTTTTTAAATAATATAAATATACTCATTGAGCACTGTATTTATGAGAATATACTATAGGCAGAGAATTCTTTTTTTAATCACTGTTATTGGAATATATATTCTATTAGACATTATAATAACAATATTCAAATTTAAATTTGCTAAAACAATATTTACTTTATAAATTATATATCAAATATTATATACAGTAATTCAAAAAGACACTTGATGATTTCAATACAGATCCAGAGAATATTTTAATATGATTAGGCAAATTTCACAAATTTTACTATAATAATACGACAATATCATATTGTCATAATAATATAAAGTAATTTGAAAAAAACATTGAATTTAGAACAGGGATGGAAAACGTTTTTGATTTTTTTGTTTTTATTTATTGATTTAAAAAATATTGATTTTGTTTAACATTTTTAAACGTTTTTAAAAGTTATTTTTCTAAAAGGTTTCTAAATTAATATATAAATAATTAAATTAAATTATTCTTAATATTTAAAATTTAAATATCAAATCAAAATTATAATTTATATTTTATATGAAAATAATAAAATTCAAAATTTTAAATTAAAACGTTTTTAAAAAGTGCATTGGTAAAGAGCAAAGACTAAAGAGTAAGTAAAGATATAAAATAAAACACTAGTTTAGATTTCTATAAAGTCTTGTTATTGTTAAAATTAACTATTATAGCCAATAGGATAATGAGTAAGTACAATAAATTATAAAACAAATTAATTCCTAATCAACTGATAAAATCAATAGATAATAATATAATCATAATAATTGAAGCGGCAAGCATGTTATAGATTACACTATGAACCATGACCGTCGTCGTGAAAGATAATGGAATTTTATTGCCACCACTGCAATGTGTATGTGCCATGTGGACTATAGTTAATTAATGCACTATGCTATTAATATATTTTATTTGTCAACAATTACCTATTAGTTATCAGAATTATAAACTTTTTAATATATATATATTAAATTTAATATATATAGATATATATTTTTTTTTCGTAATAAATAATAATAGTATAATACTTTTCATTTTCGTTATATTTTTTTTTTGTTTTCATTTTATTAATTGATTTCATTATTATATTTAATAACGTTTTCCATCCCTGATTTAAACCATAAGAAAATAAGCATATCATATAGAACAAAAACATATAATGACAAATATGTAATATTAAATAATTGTAGTTTACACTATAATACTTTTTATACAAAAAAAGACCCTGCTACAGTTTTAAGCAGGCACTGACTAAATGTGTATTTGATAAGCATCCAAATTATGTACGGAATGAACGACTTTACACCATGTTCATCCCATCATATGTGTGTCCAATGTATTTACAGCTGGTACATAGAAACCTATGGACTTAACCGATCTTCAGTTCACAAAATTTATGAACACTAATTATGAATCAAGAATGGTTTGAAAGAGTTTACCTTTAATTTACATTTTTTTTTTACAATGTCTTATAGCGTGCAATAAAAAATTATACTTGCTGATAGCATACATATTTAATACTATTTGTTTATTTATACTTTATATTCTTCATATCTTGATACATTTTATAATATAAAAATCAATATATCAGATAATTATCTGACTAATTACTACATTTTTGATTCATTATATTACTCACCTGTCAGTTAAAAATCCGGAGCCAGCTACTAATGAATTAGACATTGCATTTATTTGATTACTGTTACTTGGAATATAAGAAGGATTTGTTGTAGAAGAATATATTGAATCTTGACCACACATAATATTGCACTCCTAACATAAATTAATTGAATTACAAGATATCAAATACAGAAAGCTAAAATAAAATAATGGTATACTTCAGCTGTAGGCTTTCTAATCCTCCAAACACTGTGTAAGCCATTTAACATATCATACATCAAACATATATTAAATTCAATACTTGTAAAAACAATTGTAGTTAAACAATCTCTTGCATATTGTAATACACTACCTAAAAAGGTTCATTAGTATAAGATCAATATTTTATTAAAAGCTACATTTCACAGTATAGAAATAGACATAATAAAATCCAAGAGGCAATATTAAAAATGTATTTGTAAAATATAAATAAAAACTGTTGAGATTTAGTGAGATATATGGATGAATGAATGATTATGCAGCATTGGTCTTTTTAATTTGAAATCAATGTACCAATGCTCTTGAAAAAATAATTCTGAGTGAAATAGGGTGAATGGATAAGCTTATATTTCTTAATATGTTTGATATAGTTTAAAAATTAAAATTCTTAACAATGTAGGCCCCAACTTTAAATTGAAAATTTAAAATATTTATAATCACTAAAAACGTCATTAAAATACTAATGTAAGAATACTTAAACTAATGGAATAATGCGTGATAGGATACTAGACGGTATTAAGTTTAGAACTTAAGTTAAAGAATTTTGTAATTTATTTTTTGTTTCTTAATTATTTGAAAAACTGTTTAGAAATTCAAAAAATTAACCGTCCTTTAAAATTACAAAGTAAACACAATTTTTTATTAAAAAACTCCTATGATTGTGATAATTGAAGCAATCAATCTTTTATATACTTGAATATCTTATTTAATTATTAAAATACATATGCATTTTTAAGTGTTATAATTAATTGGGATACTTTTTTTTTTTATAAGACATTCTATTAGCCTAATTCAATTTCTTACTAAAAATACTTCTACAAATAATGACTTTCTCTAAAACTTTTTAAAATTAAAAAAAGGAATTATTCTAATTCTTACTTTAAACTATTTGGTTACAGGATTTCCCAAAGAACCTTAGAACACTTGCAACACATTAACCTTCCCTCTCATCTACTGATATTAATTAATTTTTAATAAATATTAGCAATTAGGTAATGATATTAATAAATACCTTGTTTTAATAAGAACAAAGGTAATACTTCTTTTAATGGTTGACTCAATGAGTATATAGTAGGTAGCGGTAAAGATTTTCCAGTCATATCTATTGACACTTGACCCAGATCTCTTTCAATAAGTATTCCGAAACTTGTATTCCAAACCGAGGTAACCTAAAAATTAAAACAATTTTATCTTGTTTTAATATATCTATGGCCAATTTAATAATAATAATAATAATATAATTCAATGAAACTGTTAAAAAGTATTAAATTAGTTTATAAAATGTATTAATTTAAATATTTATTCTAACTAAAGTAAATATTATTAATCATTTAATTAAAGGATGATAATAAAAAAATAAAAATAAATTGAACATGTTTATATATTAAATAACAGTATGATATTAAAATAAAATAGAATGTTATAATAAAACTAATAGCATTAAAATAAAAAAATTAATACTCATAATATACCTTGAAATATAATGGCGTATGCCAAACATCTCCTCCTTCAGAATATAAACTTATTTTTTTTGCATCTACTATACAAATGCAAGATACAGTTTTTTCTATAAAAATACATTAACATGATATGTTAATAGACTGTAAATTATCAAATAGTACATTTGGCAGAGTAAAATTATCTCTATAATTAATATTACAACTATTTAACATTTTAATTTTCTATTGATAATAACAAAAAATTACCATTAGATTTAATTTCAAAGCTGTTTTCCTCTGGTGATACATTAAATTTACTCCACAAAGCATGACTAACATTAGTTTCCATTGTATATGTACAAATCAATGACCTACAGCTTGGTGTATAATCTTCTTTATCAGCAGTAGATTTAAATGCATTTCCACGACTATGCACTACTACTTTGCCAAAAATAAACAGTTCTTCTTCAGCTCCATCTTTTTCTCTCAAAATAAATTTTTCTTGATGCTATATTAAAATATATAACTTTGGTTTAATAATAAAAATAAATGTAATGAGGTAATGAGTATAACTATTAACATGTTCAATATGTACATTAAAAAAATGAAGGAAAATAAAATGCAACTAATAGGTTAATCTCAGAAAAATTCCATTATTGTGCATTAAAACAAAAAAATACATGCCTTAGTTTTATTTGATTCTTCCAGAGATAGAGTTGTAGCTTTTTTGGACAGAAACTCATCAGCATGCAGCTCAGGACGATCATAATATCCAACTGATGGAGTCTTTACTTCACCAATGAATCTATTTTTTATATGTTGCCGCCCAAAAGGTATGAACACCTAAAAACGGCGAATTAATATTATCATATAAATGTATATGTAAGTTTAACTCACTTGTGGGTTGGTGGCGGCCAACATTGCGTTATGTTCATCCAGATTTAAAGCATTCGAACTGATATACAAACAAGTATGATTGATGTAATAAAAGTGTTATTGTAAGTAAATTTTTAGAAATGTACTTAAAATAAATTGATAATTCATCGGATTCACTTTAAAGATGATGGGTCAGATGACACGAAATACAAGTATTACGAACGAATACTGAGCAATACACGTTTTTAAAAATTTGAAAATTATGGAATAACCGGGGTTTATCAACAACGTATGATAAGAAACTGAAAATAACAATAAACAATAGGCTACGTTACAGTGTTGACAGTGCTGTTGCTTATACAGTGTGTACATGATTTATGGTAAATATTATATGATCTCATGATATGAACTGGAAAGTGATCGTATTATTGTAACACTTTTGTTCCTTTCGTGTTGCCCATATGCATTTTCCTTTATCGTTGTCCAATGACGGTTATAATTCCAATTGAATGAGTAAACACAATATCTAATATTAAAAGAACAATAGAACATAGGCTTTCGTATTTATCATTGTTATTATTGTTATTATTTTCGTTTGTTTAAAAGAAATTTTCAAATTACATAATTTAAAAATTATTACAAGTTCGGTTTTAATGCAGTGAAAACAAACTAATAATGATTGTATTCAAGAGTGTTTTATTTGTTGCGATGATCTTCATTACATCTTCAATGGCCGATAGAAAGGTATTATTTACTAATGTACCTACTATAATTAAGATAGCTAATAAATCAAATGTTTTTTCAAAAAGTTGCATGCTGAATTAAATCCTGGATGTTTTGAACCTGATCATTGCACTTCTGTATCTAAACTATTATATATACGTGCTGATGGTGACAACGACACTGTGCATTATTTATTTGATTTCACTCAAAAACCATCATTAGTTATTGTAACAACTGCAAATAATGCTAATATTCTTGTTAAATATAATGAAACTCAATCAAATGTCACAATTAAATTTACCAAGGCTCCATTTTATACGTTTGCATCAGTTTTTAATAAAGTAAGTAAAGAAGTATTTATTCTGATTAAAATTCATTATTATGGAAATCAATGTGCTTATTCACTTATTCAATTTTAAAATTAAAAATAGCTTACAAGTCTCATCTAACTTTCAATGTTCCATATATGTATTGTATTTATTTATATGTAATAAATTATTAATAATCCTAAGATCACAATAGTTAAATAATGAATAAGTTGTGAACTTCAATATATTTTTATTTTGAATGCTTTAAAACATTGCTATTCAAACTCAGAATTTATTGTATACATTAATTAATTAAAAAATTAAACATTTTTCTTACTTTTTTTTACATTTTTTATGTTTTCAGTGCATTTTTATTAATATTTTTTAAAATTAGATAAAAATGTAGTTCAAATTAAATTTGTTGCAATAGTGACTTGTAATCTTGTTTGTGTGTTAAAAGAAAACAATTCTTAGTTTAATTTATTTTTTTTGTATTTTATTTTTAATGATTCTACCAGATAATGTAACATCAGTTTTATACTTATCAAAATTCTAATAGAATATTTAAAGTAATTATTTTGCTATTTGAAGCGCTAATTACAATAAATAATTTTTAAATATTTGAGTAACACAGTACAAAAAATAATTCAAAACTATAAAAACACCATCAATATTAAAATAAAATTATATATATATTCTGTATCTATTTTATCTATTTATTTATACAGGTTCATTTTTATTTACAAACAATTAAAATAATTATTTTCTGTATTTTTCTTTCTAAATAAATATGAAAAATGTCTTCTTAAAATCATTACTTAAATATAATTTTTTATTCAACTTCAGTAATAAAACCATTTTTTTGTATTAAAATAAGTTTAAGTTGACTTTTTATGGATATAATATAATTATAGACTAAATTTTCAAATAATTTGTTTGATATTGAACTACTATCACTGAGAATTGACTTAATGTTTTTTTAATTTTAGATGTACGAGTTTGATGATGTTAATGATACAGCACTATTAAATAATGGTAAACATTACTTAACAATAGATTTTAAGAAATATGATTGGAATATGAATCTTTTCAAAATTAACATTAATGAATCTGTTGAAGTTAACATATCTAGTAATTTATATAGAGCACCAAGTATTACAAAAACTGGTACTGTATCTATAACGGTAAGAACTTATGAAGATAATTGACCTTGAGGTCGTTTGTGAATAAAATTAATTGATGTAAAAAAATTGTTTAGGTCATGAGGCACTAGTAAAAAAGGTTCAATAAAATTAATTATTCCCTTAACTGATTTTATAAATTTATGCTACGCACAATTTAGAGAAATGGTTTATAATATAATTTAACTTTTAATTAAACATTTAATGTTCTATACATTTTATATTTAAGATGACTATAGATCCTTAAAATTATGTAAGACTTATTTACTAAATATTCTCCAACTTGACTTGACATTTAATTAATTCTAATAATTATGATCTGTTAAATGATATTTAAGAATAACATACATTTCTTAAATTTCTGCTAGTTTCAATTGCACATTCAATTGATTGCAATTAAATTACTATGTATATTTAAATAAATATAAGGTTTATTTAACTTAAAAATAGCAGTTATTTAATGTCCTTAGAATTTTTATTCTTTGGTTATTCAAATTATTACTATTTGTAATATCTTGGCTAACTTTTTTTTTATGACAATTCATACATATATACATGGTTGAATTGTGTTACGAGTATGTTAAATATTTTACATACTTGGGTAAAATACTTTTTAAAAGTATTTTGAATATATTTTCCGAATATTTAAAAAAAAGTATTCAGAATATGTATTTGAATACTTAATGATAATAATATTCCCAAGTATTTAGATTATTTCACAAAAACTATTCTAAATATTTTTCAAATACTTTTTTTTTTTTGTAGATTTAGATTTCAATAACAAGAAAAAAAAAATGAATAACACAGTAATATCAATCAATATAATGCTTTTAAACAGTTTATTTCAACATATTTTATAAACTTAAACAAAATAAATAATAAACATTATACTAATATAATTATTAATATTATACAATTACTTGATGCCAATGCCAAATTGTCAGTTAATACTGATTAAATAATAATAACAAAAAAAAAAATACTTTGATAAATAAAAATAAAAAGAAAAAACTATCAATAAATAGTAATAACATGGAATTATAATATAATTAGTATCATTATAAAAAGTAATACATTATTCAATAGTCAACTACTTAAAGCTTATGGTCAAGTTTTCGTGGCTTAAATAATAATAAAAAATATAATAGTGATAACATTGTGATGGTAGATAAATATATTTTATAATATTAATTAATATTGTATACTTATTTATATATAAAAATAAATAAATAATAAATTACTAAATGTACTTAATGAATTAATTATTCATTATATTATTAATCAATCATTAATACTTTATGAATGATTTATTACACTTTAACATTAATATATTTTCAAAAATTGTATCATTCATCTTACCTTTTTTTTTTTTTTTGACAAAACAGCACCACCAATGCTAAATATGCGTTCAACAGCAGCACTATTAGGAAGTGTTAAATAATACTTTTTTAACCGTGGGCATTTCATTCAATATATTTAGGTTTTTTGTAGAACTTGTTGACAAAGTCAAAAAGACAAAAAACTAACTAAAAAATCACAATAAATTAAATGTTTTTTAGAGAGATATTTTTTAAGAGTATAGTAATGAATGTTAGCAAAAACCCATAATACATATATTTTTCATCTTGCAAACATCAAGGCAAATGCACAATGGTTCCATAACTACAACATACTCTTCTAAAAATTCTAAATCATTTTTAGAAAACCGATTTAATTTTAAAACATCACACACTTTATTGAACTTAGGACTGTTTTTAAAATGAATAAGATAACATTTTGAGGAATCAAACCAAGTGTTCTAACGAGTTTGATTAGGAGTTTTTAAGTATAAATCCAAATTTGTTTTGATTACATCAGCCATTTGATATGATATCAACATATTCCTCTGAATAATATATAAATATATAAATAAAATAATGTTAACTCTTCAGTTTAAAATATCTGTTCAATAATAAAAATGTTTAAAATACAAATAAATCAGTATTAATATTATAATTACTCGAAGCATTTGACAAAATTGGAACTGTTGTCAGTTGTTGTATAGATAATTTTATCACAAATATTAAATTCAGTATAGATTCCATAGTTTTTGCTAGCAAATCATATGTATGACTACCCTTTAATCTTCTTATAGCCAATAAGCAAGACTCTCTTTCTAATGATTCTGGATTAATCCAATGGCATGTCATACCTAAATAGGATCTGAAAAACAGTATTTAAATTATATATGCTATGAATTAGATTATAATTTATTTTAAACAACAAACCGTTTGAAAATAGTCTAACAATCAGCAGTAGTAGTTAAATAACCTAACCTTCAAAATACAGTATTGAATACTATAAAAAAAAAGTATTTAAAAAATATTCGGAATACTACCCAAGTCTGATATTTTAATACATATTTTGATTGTTATTCTATTTTTTTGGTTAATTACTCATTGGCCCTGTAACTCACTATTTACAATAATATACTTTATATAAATGTATTGCTTGCTCTTATTATCATTTATATTTATAATATTAATGAGTATTATACATTTATAATTCAATATATATTTTTATTTTTAAATTAATTAATTTTTAATTTACGAGTTAAGTTTAGTAATTTTTATGTGTTTTTTTTATTTTAGTTGAAAGTGTACGGAAAAAAAGATAAAGGATCAAAGTTACCGCATCTTGTTCATACTCCTGAGTCTGGTGAACTTACACTTACACTTGATCAGTTATCTACGAAGTTTTCTAGTTCACGTTTTGCTGTTGAATTACTTACTCTTAGTTCTTTTCCATTTAACAAATCTGAAAAATTAGTAGCCGAACAATTTTCTGATGATAAATCATCTTCTGGTACATTTGTGGTTAGTAATTTTACTTTTTATCATAAGGTATATAGTGCATTATCTCCATGTTACACAGATAGTCTTCACTACACGGGTATAAATTAGCACCGAAAAAATAAACTGAAACTTGTAGCATATTTTTATATTCAACATTTTCATAAGTCCATTTATATAGGATTGTGTTATATATTTTTATCTTAAATCAACAATTGTTGGGTTAGCTTAACATTACATCCAATAATTCTTCTTCTTCTCCTTCGTCTCTCTCCATTTATTTGGCCCTTGTCCTTAATCTCCACTTGTCTCGATTTTCTACAGCTCCATCACACCAACCGCCCTCATATCATTCTCAATCATATCCAACCATCTCTTTTTTGGTCTTCCTCTTTCTTTCTTCCCTTCTACTTTAATTTTTATAATCACTTTACAGGTTTTGTTTCTTCCAGCCTCAACCCATACTCTAACCATCTCAGTCTATTTTCTCTCATCTTGTTTACTATCGACCCTACACCAATACTACTTTCCATATATTTATATATTCATATATCCATATATTCTTTATTCTATTTTATCTTGTCATTAATATTCGCAAAACTCATACTCTGTTCTATTCTCTTGTCAACCGATTAATATTCTGAACCATATATTACTACAATCCAGTAAAATTTACCTTTCAGTCTCATTGGAATTCTCCTATTACATAAAACGCCCAACGATTCTCTCCATTTCATTTAACTGTAATTAATTCTATGTCTTACATCTATGCTAAAGCGCTTGTGCTTTTGTACTAATGATCTTAAATATTTAAAGTTCTTGGTATCGTCCTCCAAGATTATACTCTACATACTCTGTTTCATTTCTATTCTCAATTCCTTCAAAGACTAACCTCCATTGATACAACCATATTATTAATTTCCAAATTTTCTCCTACCAAAACTATATCATCAACAAACTTCATACATCATGATATCTTGCACTGTATGTCTTTTGTAACTTCATTCATTACCACAGAGAACAAATAATGGCTTAGAGCTGCGACCCCTGATGCACACCAACTCTTACATTAAAATTTTCTATTACTCCACATAAACTCTTTACACAAGTTCTCAAGCCTTTATATATATCCTGAATCAAATTTATATTTATTTTAGGATATTTCTTAGGTACCTATAAGGAAATAAATTCGTAATTTTTAATTACTATAATATTATAAATGAATCTTTTGTCTTCAACTTTCTGAAATGTAAATTATTTATTATTTTATTAACATTTTAGACTTATCTGATGGATACGAAAGGAGAAGAAGATGAAGAAGGAGGTGGTTATCTTAGTTGGAGACCAGTTGTATATAAAGCAGCCAATACACATGCTTTAAATTCTTCTTCAACAGCTCAGTATACTATTCAAGATTACAATAGTCAAGATAATGAGATTGACTGGATTTCAACACCTTTGTATAAATTGTATGGAAATGAATTATTTAAAAATAGTTATCTTTTGAAGGCAACTAATGTGTCTTTTGGAGAACCTGCTGATGGATACTATGCAAAGTCAAATTATCTTTATTGGTAAAATAAATTTTATATTTTAAATTATTAAAACATCTAAATGCATATATTTTTTTTCAGGACTTTCTTGGTAGGAGTTGGTGCACCTCCTAGCTCAAGTTTAGGTTTTCTTGAAATGTCAATCATTGCTAGTCTTCTATTAATGTTGACCATAACTATGATTCTTTTGTTTTGCATATTTATGCGTTGGATGTCCAGTAAACGTAACTCTATTATTTATGGTCAATAAGATCATTATTAGTACCTATTATATTTAACTAAGCTTTATTAGTGATTCTGTCAAGCTTAAGCTCAGGTTTTAATCTCTTAAACTAAGTATGTATTTTTTGTCTGAAAGTTTTGAGCTAGTCCTATTTATTTAAGATAATTGACAAATATGTGATTTTATTATACACTCATTCTAAATTCATATTTAATTTTTTGTTGCTCGTTTGACAATCAATTCTTTTTTGTTCTAGTAAAAGTATAAAAATTTGTATATTTAATATCATTTTTATCTTAAGTGGAAAATACATTTTTTTATAATAAAGATGAATTATTACTTTTAATTTGTATATATTTTTTATATTCATATTTAACAGTTCATTATGATTTCTGGTTTTAAATTATTTTCTAACTATTGGTTGTTTAAAGTTATTAACAGTGGTTAAAGTGGGAAAATGTTGCAGGGGGACTATATTCATTAAAAATTAAGGAGCGTTCCCCTACCTAATTCTAAATCTTACCAACCTTTTTTTAGGAAACCCATGAGTTCTAAACCTCTTCTGTTACACATATATGTTCACAAAAACTTTATTTTCATAAGATGTAAAAACAAATTTCCCTTAAAGAAAAATAATTCTATACATATGCCTGCTCAGTAAAAATAAATTGCAATACACAGTAGTTAATGTTTAAAAAACTTAACTAAAACTTAACAAAACTATAAAGAAATAATTACTTATCTTGCTAGTTGTTAGTCAACGTAGACCATAACAAATACGTACATTATGCATAAGGTGTGTACTATATATATAGTAGCTATCCTCTATCACAATTTAATATTTATACTTTTTATAGTTATTCTATTCTGTTAATATTTATTCTAAATAATAGTCGATATCATTATTACTTTATATTTAGAGCTATGGGTAATAACCACTTTGAGATCATCTATAGTTAGACACAGCATCAATTAAATTAACCCATAGTGTACATTATCTACCATTTTTGCTTATCATTATACGTACATAATATTTCTTCAACATTTTTTCCATTTGTTCAAGTCAACCAAGAAAATAAATTTCATGTAATATTGTAATATATAATAAGTATTGTACATTTAATATTGTATTTTAGTGACTAATGCCATTAAGTGCCCACCAGGACTTTTGGCAACTTAAATTTAAGTGGACGCATAATCTTACCTTAAATAAGAAGGGGGACTTTGTCCCCCCACTTTAACCACTGGTTATTAATAAAACTTTTTTGATCGAAATTTGTTAGATAAAAACAGCTTTAACTTATTAATTTATTTATGTCATAATCAACTTAAATAAATCAGTAAATGTCATCATCTTGCTTATTTAATTTTATATGACAATAGATTCATTTTTAAATTGTAATAAACCTTTTGTTTAAAATTTTTCTTGAATATATTTAAAGATTAAATGTGGTAAAAATTGATTTTACTAAATTTATGGCAGTGATAAGTTTCTTATTCTATTTATTTATAAAATAAATAAATTTAATTGTCACCCATTTAATTTAACTGGAAAATAATGTATTATTGTTATAAATTTATTTTTTATATTCAAATCCGTCCTCAAAGAGTAATTTTATAATTATTAATTCATATTTACATCAGTATTTACCAACCATTGAAATATAATTTTGTATCATGATTAATTTTTCTCCTGTATTTATAGTATTTAAAGTACTCATATTTAAATGTGGATTATTTTTTACAGGATTTTTTAATTGTTTATTTTAAATAATGTAGTTGAAAAATAATTTATGTCGAAGTTGGAATTGATTATATATGTTTTGCATATGCTAGAATATGTTCAAAACTATCTTTGCTCTTACACAAATGAAACCAGAATACCAGGATACCAAAATTAAAAATTACATTGAGTTTTGTTATCTTTTATATGAAATATTCAATATTTATTTTAAATTTATTGAATTTAACTATTAAAACTGATTTCTTAATTTCATTGTAACCTGTATCAGAAATATTAAATATTCTTATTTTTAAATTATATAAATGGTGAATATTTGATTCAATAAACTTCTATAAGTTAGGTTATTCTACTTCCAATTTTAGTATAATTATACTTTTGAATAATTTTGTATAACTTAAATTGTAACTTATGATTTTATAGCGATTCAGTAAATTTGTTAATTGTTAAAAATTCAATATTTATGACATTAATTTAAATTGTATACTTTTATGAACAAATGTATAATTATTGTAATGAAAAGGACTGAAAAATATAATTGATTTAAAAATTCTATTTTGATTTCATAGAATAATATTTATTTAATTGCATGTATTTACATTAGATAATAATATATTTATTTGTACATCTAAGTATGTGTTATTTTTTCAATAATTATTAAGTATATTGTAATTTACTTTAATAACTATTTTTAGTGCACAGCTTGCTGAAAAAAATCATAGAACATTGTTTTATGAATTGTAGTATGCTTAAAGTTTTCTTTTACTCAATAACTGAAAAAACTATGTATTACTGTATTAAAATATTTTATTTTTATAATATGTGATTGTTAATGCTAATTATTTGTATAATCTTATATTTTTATTACGGTTTAGACTAAAAATTTAAATCATTCTTATTTACATTTAAAACTAAACTGAAAACTTATTGATTATAATTTTGTAAACATAATTATCACCAAAGCACAGAATATATTATTATTATTTTCTTAAGAAGTATTATTCTAAATAAAAAATGTTCAACATATAAAAAAAATAAGAGCTTAACTAATATTATATTTATGAATATAAATTTAATTTATTTTTATTTTATACTATAACCCATATTTTAAAATACAAAAATTATAAAGAAATTAATTGAATTAAAAGTAACCAGTATTCATAACATGCAAATCTGTAACTATTTTACTAAGACAACATTTTTGAAGGTTGTATACGTATTTTATTGTGAAACTTCATCTGTTTTTGCTGAAGATGGTGGAGGCACAGATTCATCTTGTTCAGTTGGTTTTTCATGAACTAAAACAACAAATATTTAAAGATAATTTAAAATAATATTGTAATAGTATGGGTACAATTATTCTATACTAGAAAAAATAAATACACAATTCTTCTCAATTAATATTAGTTTAAATTAGTAAGGCTAGTTACAATAACAATTATACATATATAACAATTAAAACATAAGTGAAAAAAATATAAAATGCATTTATTTATTCAATTAATAAACAAAATAATAAGATTTGAGTATTATTAAATGGTATTTTAAAATGAAAAAAAAAAATTTAAGTAGATATTTCAAAATATAAATTTAATTTTTTTTTAGAAATGATTGATAATACATAGTAGTAAATTTTTATTTATCTCATTAATTACTAAGATTCTAAATGACCAAATAGATTGATTATAAGCAGAACTATTTATAACCAATGACAATACATAAAAATGTATAAGAAGTAATTTTTATTAAATTCAATATAGAAATAAATTACCTGAAGTTATATCAGTAGATTTCACATCTTCAATTAATTGCTTATTTTCATCATTAGGTTTTTCAAATGGTCCATTTATGGGTGATGGGTTATACACATTTTCAATTGGTGGTTGGTTCGGATCTTGTTGATTTATGGAACCTATTTGTTGTGGATAGGCCACTCGAGGAGGTGGTGGAGGATATTGCTGATAGGGTGCTTGATGATAATAAGGATGAGGTGTATATTGAGGATATGGTTGTGGTGGGTACGTATATGGGGATCTAGGTGGCATTTGTTGAGTTGAATAAGATTGTTGCTGTTGTGGATAAGGAGGAAATCCAGTTGATGGTGTTGATGACTGTGTTCCTTGAGATGGAGGAATTTGAGGAGGTTGCATTATACCTGGATGAGAATGAACCGAAGGAGTTGAATTAGGGAGAGCCTGAGTAGATGAATATGCATTTGGAGCAGTAATTTGAGAATTTTGCAAAGGTTGAAATGAAGGTACTGAACTGTAAGACTGTGGCAAAGATGTTGAATATGATTGTGCTAAAGAAGCAGGTGTTGGATATACTTGATTTTCTGAAAGCTTTGGCGGTGATTCCGTAGTTGATGAAACAACATTTGATGGTGTATCTGAAACTACAGCTGGTGGAACAGTAGGTGGAGGTGGCACAATAACGGGGGGAGGATGTGGTTGAGTTTGAGTTATAGTTGGCTGTAACTGAGATTGAGATGGTTGTAATTGTTGTGGTGGCTGCAATGGTAATTGTGGTTGTGGTGACTGTGAAGTTTGCAACTGTGGTTGAGGAGGCTGTAACTGTTGTGGAGGAGGCTGTAATTGTGGCTGTGGAGAAGGCAGCTGTGACTGCTGAGGTTGAGGAGACGGCAACTGAGATTGTTGAGGCTGAGGAGATGGCAACTGTGATTGCTGAGGCTGGGGAGACTGCAATTGTGGCTGTGGCGATATTGATTGTTGTGGTGGTGGGGGGGTTGGCACAGATTGTTGCTGTGGGGACTGTTGTTGAGTAGGTTGGGGCTGTAAGATCTGTGACTGAGGAGGTTGTGGCTGTAAAATCTGTTGCTGAGGAGGTAGTGGTTGTAAAGGATGTTGCTGAGGAGGTTGTGGCTGTTGAAGCTGTGGTTGCAAAGGATGTGGCTGTGTAGATTGTGTTTGTAGAGACTGTTGCTGGGGTGGTTGTGGTTGTAGAGACTGTTGCTGTGGTGGTTGTGGTTGAAGAGACTGTTGCTGTAGAGGTTGTGGCAGTGCAATCTGTTGTTGAAGAGAATGTGGTTGTAATGGCTGCTGTTGGGGAGGATGGGACTGTAAAGGTTGTTGAATAGGATGTGGTTGCAATGGCTGTTGTGGGGGAGGATGAGGCTGTAATGGCAGTTGTTGGGGAGGATGTGGCAGTAAAGGTTGTTGTTGAGGAGGTTGTAAAGACTGTAGCTGGGAAGCATGTGGCTGTAATAGTGGTTGTTGGATAGAATGTAGCTGCATTGGTGGTTGTTGGGGAGTTGATGGTTGCAATTGTGGAGATGGTTGAGAATGTTGCTGAGGTTGCGGAGAAACTTGGCAAGGCGGTTGTGGTAATAGAGGTGCTTGTTGCGGAAGTTGTTGTAAAGAAGACGGTGGATGCAAAGACTGTTGTTGAGGCTGTTGGGAAGACTGAAGCTGTAAAGAATGTGTTTGTAACAGTTGCTGTTGAGATGGAAATTGAGGTTGCTGTTGAAATTGATGAGGTTGTTGTGCTTGAACCTGTGGAGACTGTTGTTCTTGTGATGCTTGAGGTGGAGGTGAAGGTGTTATTTCTCCATTTTCTTTAGTCTCTGATATAAGCTGTTCGGATTTCAATGAATTATGAGATTGAATAACAGCAGACTGGAAAAAAAATATAATTAATATATTTTCTAATATAAATTTAATTAATATATATATATATATTAAACATATTTGAAATTCTTATAAATAAAATACTATGATATATACACATAGACTTACTCTATTGGACAGGGTGGCAAGTTGAAACTCATACAGACCAAACTATAAATAGTACTATTTCATCAAATAATTGAACAATTATGATAAATTATAAAAAGTAATTTAGGAATAATATTAGATTCAATGTAAAATGAAAATGTCCAAGAAATTTTGTACAAATAAACATGTAAATTTTGATACAAGACGAAAATATACAAGGATAGTCAATATAGTCGACCAAATAGTGAAAATAAATTAACAATGACTAAGATTAGAATTGAAATTTTAAATTTTGTATATAAAAAAAAAAAAAAAATAAAAATACAAATAATAAGTAGAGCTGGGGTTTTGATGCATATGTGTCTTTTTTTCTCATTTTCCAATACATATATACGTAAGCAGAAAAGTTTAGCATGTAATCTACTATATTGATAAATTAATAAATATGAGCATATTGGCCCATGTACATATTTTATTAAAAATAGAATAAAATTAAAATAGTCTAAAGAAATGTATCTATTTACAAGAGTCTAATGATGATCAAATTTAAATAAAATCAGGAATAAAAATTAATATTGAACAATCTAATGAAATATATTTGATAACATGATTTTTATAATATTGTTTTTAAACTATAATATATACATTTTTATAGTGCATTTTTTTTTTATAATTTTGGCATTTTTTGTTATTCTTTAGAGCATAAAAATTCCAACCCTAATAATAAGCATTTATATATATACTGTTTCAGTTATAATTCCTAAAATGTAAGTAATAAATAATGTAATCATACATAAAATATAATAACAATGTATTCATAGTATATATTTTTAAACAAGAGAAATATAAATAAATAAGTCTATTTATTTACATTAGTGGAATATTACTATTTATTAAGATTCAAAAGTAGTGATATGAAATAAAGGATTCACCGAAAAATTTATCAATAGATGCTTGTATAAATATACATGTTATCTAGTGAAAAATTATAATATATTTTAATGACAATCAAGTTAAAGTAACTATAAATATTATTTTTTGGTTAATTTTATTTATCATAAACTTAGAATATTGAATTTTCCAGAGAAAATAAAACATTTATTTTATTTATAAATTTTAAAATAAATATAAATCAATAAAATGTTAAGCTTTTTATTTTTTAAAGCTGTAATCTAAATAATAATATAGTTTAAATTTCTTTTTTAATAAAACTTGGTTGAAATATATAAATATTACCTCTATTTCCATATTTGTATTATCATCAGTTGTACTAGAAGGAACTACACATGAAGCCGAGTCTTCTTCAACTGATGGTACAGCTCCATTTTGTTCTAATTGTTCACAATGCACCTTAGGGAATTCTTCAGGAACAGAAGGGCATACAGTTTTAGTTCGTTCTTTTTGCAATATATCTACCTGGCGTTCCACCATTTTTTGAAATGCTTCTTCTGAAACTGCTTGAACACAGTGTTAAACAAAAATTAACATATATTTATTAATTAAATAATAATCTAAAAAAATTATTGATTATAAAAATACTTTTTTTTAGTTCTTGTTGGAATGCATCACTACATTCAATAAATTTTCTTTTTTTTGTATCAAATTTTTCTTCAATTTGCTGTAATTCTGCTTCCAATTTTTTCTAAAGCCATAAATAATTAATTTTCAATAATTTAGAATAAATTTTAACATAAATAGTTGAATATGAATTACTTGATGCATTGTTAAACTTTGAACTTGTCTCTTTAATACTTGCATACGAGCTGTAGTAACTACTGAACGTACATCTGGGACAACACTATCAGAAAATATCTCATTAATCAACCGATGATTTCTTATGTATCTAGCATAAGCTACATGTTTAACACTAAATCCATCATCTTGATCTATAAAATAATTTTATTATTAATCATAAAAAAGTTGACAACTAATAATTTATAAACCTTCTTCATCTTCAGCTGGCTGAATTTCAATTCTTCGATCAGCAGCAGCTTGTTTACCACCCCCAGTAGATCTTTCATGTGGTTCTCTATCTTCTACTTGATTCAATTTGCCTTTATTTTTTGCTTGTAAATAAGCTAAATAGGCTGGCGAAGTATGATATAACTTCATAGCTTTTTCATAAGTCAACTATTATAAAATAACAATTACAATGCGATCCAAAAATTATAATTCTTTGATTTTAATACCTTTTCAGATTCATAATCATCAATATATTCTTGTTTGTTGTCATCTGGAAGATCTCTCCACATTTGTCCAATAATCTTACCGATTTCCCATAACTTCAAATCAGGATTACTTGCTTTAACTTGATCCCATACTTTACGACTATATCGCATATATGGCATAAGGGGTTTCTCAGGTGGCTTAGGAGGTTTGATTCCACGAGCATCAGCCTTTTAAATTATTTACATGATTATAATTATATACAAAAAAAAATGTAAGTAAACAATAAATAAAAAAAATTCTTACAGCGGCTTTTGAAATTTTTTGTGGATGAAAAGCTGGATTTCCATGGCTATTTGGAATAAATGGACTTTGATTTTGATCTTTCTATACACAATTATTTAATAATGTTAGAAGATATAAAATTATACTTTAACACATGAATATAAGTTTAGTAAAATCTTAATAATTCGACACATATAGGAATATTATGGTATTATGGCAATACCAAAATTAATAGATATTAAAAAAATAAGATAAAAATGAAAATATATATTCATTACACTTTAGTTAAATTATATATAAATAAATACTTTTTTTTTAAAAATATCAACAATTATTATCAGAAAATTAAATTACATTTAATTATTAAAGCGAAAATCCAAAAATACAATTGAAGGGTGAGCAGGAATAATGTGCTATGAAACAATAACGATATATTTTAAAAATCATAAAATTCCTAAAATATTTTTATCATACACAATCATTATTGTTCACAGTGAATTGACCCAAAGCGTGGATATATATGTACGATTGTACATTAAATTTAATCATAAATGAAAGTTCACAAAATAATGAAATAATGGTTACGTTATAAAAAAATAGTCTAATATGTAAGAACATACTACATGCGCTCCAGATAACATTTAAACAAATGTAAAATACATTTTTAATTGTTCTTGTAAAATTTACAAATTGTTACATATGACATTATTCCTACCTACCCATCAGTTATAGATGGATGTGGTAAAAATTTGGAGGTTTGTCGCAAAATAAAATAATTAAGCCATAAATGTATACAAAATAAATACTTAGATAGTAATTTGAACAATCTAAGTATAATATAATATGAAAGTACACTATTATTGACTAACTTTGATAGTAAACATAATTTGAATTCTTAATTGAATAATCACAGAATGATTCATAAAACTTACTCATAATAATATATATTTTTAAAATTGTTAAAAATATTCTTTATGTTGACATATCAATGAACATAATTAAGTTTTATTACAATTTAAATCAAAATATAATAATTTTTGATAATTAAATATAGAATGTATTGCAAGTTTAAATTATGTACCAAAATTAAAAATTATATAAGTACTTACAGATCCAGATAATTGATTGGAACTTCCACCAGGTCTTAATCGTTCTGTAATACAGTTAAGTACCAATTTATTTACTAAACAAAATATGAATATATAGTTTTAAGAAATAATAAATTGTTATTTATAAATTTATAAGTAAATCACTTAAACAAATCATCATAGACTATCACAAGGCAAAAGAAAATAATAAACAAAATTTTAGGAGTAACCCTTGGAATATGAATTTATTTATTTACTCTATTTCTTATATCATATTATTTTAGAAGTATTTTTATTATGTATATGTATTTACTATTAACAAGACTTCATTGATTTGTTATTAATATGTTCTATTCTTTTAAAATTTTTAATAAAAAATCTGTTAAAAATAAATTTATTTGAAGAAATAAAACTAATAACAGAATGTCAGGATAAATAGGTGACTTCAAGGAGTTTCATCAAGTATATAATGGCGTGATAAAATATAAATTATACAAATTATCATCTATACCAGGGATGGATAATTGGCAGCTAGTAGGTAGCATTCAGCCAGCGTTACATTTTTAAATCACTTCATTATATTTTAGCGATAATCATTACCTAGTTTTTTTTTTTATATTGATTATAAAATGTGGATATTAGATTTTTCTTTAACATTGAAATCCAAATTAATTATTAAATGTCAATATATAATTCATATCCATATCGGCATAGTTAACTTTGCTGTAGATATTGTGCATTTATTAGTTTGAATTGGTTTAGTTGTAAAATTTAATTAATTAAAATAAATGCTACTTTGAAATTTAACATTAAATATTATAGGTATATTCTTAAGAATATGATACTTCAAAATCAATTTTTTCAAATGGCTTTCTACAATATCTCAAACAAATAAAAATATAATTTTTAAAACAGCAAGATATTAAATTTAAAAGATATTATTTTTGCTTTCTTGTAAATTATCTATTATATTTAGTACACTTTTGCCTTGCAATAATTTATATTTATAATTTGTTTAATTAAATTAATTTTAATATAAAATATTTTTTTATTCAAATTTATATTTTCTAGAAAAATGTACACCAAAAAGTATTATACATTTTAGTAAAAAAAGAAAATTATAAAATTAATAATAAATATTGATCTTATTAAATAAAATTAGTGTATACCATTTAGTGAGAAATTTTTGAGAAATTTAAAATTATGTCTACATACAATTAGAATGAATACTAAAGACACAAAGAAGATTGTGCTGTAAGGTAAAAATAAAAAAATAATTTACTGATTATCTTATATCAATACAGCAATAAACATTCTCATTTCATTTTACATGCTAATTAAGTGTTAAAAAAACATGCTTCAATATTATAAATCTTTTGTTCATCAAACATAAAGAAACAAATATAAGCAAAATATAAATAAGCATAAGTGAAACTTGAAAATTAATTTTTTTTTCATTAAACTTTGAGAATTAAAATATAACTCATTGCTAATAATAACAAATTTAAATTAAGTTAAATTAATACAAATTTAATAGCAATTATACATTTTATATAAATAAAGGCCATGCATATTAGTTACAGAATATATAAAATAAGTAAATAAGACTTACTAACCATTTTGATAGGATCCCGTTTTAGTCGCTGAAAAAATTAGGAAACTATTCACACATTGTATTATTTGTTTGGAGGTGAAAAATCCTCACTAATAGTACATTTGAAAACATAGTTTTTGCTCACATTTATGACCAAGAATTGAATGAAAATAAAAAATAAATCAATAAATGAAATTATTACGTAAAAGAAGAAAATCTGATGTTTAGATTTTATTTTATTCAATAAAAAGTAGATACTTTTAATAAATATAGGATTAATTCGTTAAAATAATTAAAATTTAAGCTAAATTATCTTATAACGATTGAAAATTTTTAACCGTGCACTGATTGATATCCACCACCATTTATTCTTGCCACAAAATATTATTGAATATATTAGTTTGTAAATATTTAAAAAATACATATACATACAAGGTTACAGAGGAAACTCAAATTAGGTATAGTAAAAATTTAACATGTAACAATTTCTAAATTGACAATGAATAAATTATTTTTAAACCAAAGCTACAAAATAAAATAAATAAGAATGTTAATTACAATTCACATGTATAGTTTTGAATTTATAAATGATAAGATAATATTAAATATTGATTGAATTCATTAATAAAGTATAAGAATGATAAGTTATTTTATTATCAAATATATAATAATAAATTATAATTATAAATACTTAAAAATATAATATTAAGAACCTTGTACACATATGCCAAAAGTAATAGTGAAAAATTTTTTAATAGATAATGTGATTTTCGGCATTGTGTGCAAAAATTAGTGCAATATAAACTTTATGTGGCTATAGAAAAAAGTTTATAACAAATCAAAATTAATAAATTTACCTTTTAAAATGTTGAATGTAACTGGAGCACCTGTGGGCACACATTTAACAAGCTCAAATCCAAAGAATTAAAAAAAAATCTAACTAAAAATAACATACATGCAACTCAATAGAAACCTATAAATTGTAAATTACCAACAGTCAGATAAGTATATTATATGATACGAGATGTTCAAAATTTCCTTAGGATATATTAACGTATAATCTTAATCAGATAATCCTAAATATGCAGTTTTTTTTTTAACGTAATTAATATATACCTTACTGATTTATGATAAAATAGTTACTTTGATTTAAATACAAAATAAGATAATTTTAAGCATAGGTAAAACACATACTTACAACATAACATTTAAAAAAAATTGCTTAAGAGATTATAATCTATAATGCATTGTAAAATTTTCAAAACTTAATAAGTTTATTATAGCAATAAATTAGCTACACAAAAAAGATAAGCCTTTAAAAATAAAAGTATTATTTAATAAAAATAAATATATAAAAGCTTAAATAAATACTAGAATTTCCACACCTAAGTAAATAATTATAAATTCCATAATGAAATATAAATGAACTAATAAGTTATTGATAAACTATTATTCTTTAATATAAAATGAAAATACTAATTTAAATACTTACGGGCAGGAGACTGTTGATTAATAGCTATTTGTTTGTATGTGGAAGGAAGCGCCATGGCTTCAAATAATTATACCTCAATTCTGTAATTTAGTAATAAAATAAAATATATTATTGAGTATTTAAAGAACAAAAATTTAAGTCAAATAAAAAATAAATTCTCAATAAAGTTTAATATTTAAATCATGAAACGTATAAGGGTCGATTTAAACCAGCAATTCTTAAACTTTTTCAACCACAGAGTCCTTTTTAATTAGTATTTTCTAGTGGAATCTCAAGAAATATTTAATATTAGTTTTATTTGATTGTGTTCTATGAAGCAAATTACACATGATTTGTATCTATGTAGGACACTCATAACAAGATAAAATATCAATAATTAATATTATATTTATGTACAATATACTTGGCTGGATAATATCTGAAAAGGAAATGTTTAATATCTTAAATTAAAAAATTATATTTTTTAATTGGGATTTTAATATTGTTTATATTCATATCAGTGAATTGTATTTGAATTAAAAATCTTGTAAAAATATAATTGCTATTTGTTTTAGGAAATGATCAATAATTTTTATATTACTACATTTTTTATGGTAAATCAAACATAGCCCTTAAGAAAAAAATTGAGGAACTCTAAGAGCTCCACAGATTAAAAACCGCTGATTTAAATAATTTATATTTATTGAATATTGGTAAATTATTAATATTATAAATATAATTTTTTTTACATATTTATAGTAAATTTACAAAACTACAAGGATTATAACAATAACCTAAAAATTAATTTATATAATAAAAAAAAATCTATAAATGTTTTAGCAAACATTAAGAAATCTTAAAATAAAAAAATGTTGGTCACCATCAACTATCGCTTATTAAATAAAATAGAAAAATCCAAGTTCTTATAAGATTTATAAAAACATTAAGAATAGAATATAATGATAACCACAATACTCAATATTGAATAATTCAGTGTATACTCATTCAGTATTTTGACATTAGAACTGTATAAATTTATACTTATATCATTTATAACTAAGAATTAATGAAATAGTTATTAAAATCGTATTGAATAAAAACATATTCATGTTTCTCTTACATATATAATACTTAATAGTTAATAAGTAGATTTACTTACAATTTAAAATTTAATTTTCAGAACAATTAATCATTTTTCAATATTCACAGTTAAAAACCTGACATACATTGGAAATTCAAATATAATTAAAAGCGCATGCAACACCAAACAAAATTTTGAGAATTAAGTTAATAAACAACCGACGTATACCAGAAATAGTGAAAGATTTGTTATAATAATATTCGTGTTACATTTTGCTTTGCTTACCGCTTGGGTTTTTATCACACGACAACAATGGTAACAGCTCACTAACCACCAACACTAAATTCATAACCATAGAACCATGGTAGAAAATATCACACCACCATTTAATAAGCAACTATGGATATTTTATAGGTTAAACATTTGTGAACGGTGTTTTGTTGTCAACTCTCAAAACTTAAATTCTCAATTTTTTCATGTCAATTTTCTTTTAGATAGTCTTCAATTTTTACTAATTTTTGTTTGTTTATTGTAGTTTTCGTGCTATTTAGCTATCCTACTTCTGATATTTAATATTTATCAGAAAAACTTTCTAGCCATGGATTACGAGCAGGTATCAATTGTAAAGAAAATTGTAATTAAAACATTAGTCAATATTTTTACTCATCATTTTTTAAAAAAATTTAGCCAGAATACGATGGTGACACATACTACAATAGTTACGAAGACAGATACTCTGATGCTGATATGTACGAACCTCCAATGCCTGAAATCATCAAGAAGTTTCTATTATACTTCAGGAATGCCATTAATGAAGGAATGGTATATGAAATGCAAAACTTATATGAGAACACGTATGTTTTTCATAATGTATTATTTACACATGAATATATATGTAACTTGTTATTGTAAATTGTTAAAGATTTCCAAAATTATCTGATCAATATTTTGATAAAGCTCCATGGCCCAGTGACAATGAAGTCCGTAAAATTATGGATGATGACAAAGTATTTTATTACTAAATATTATGTATGAAGTACAATTTTTTTTTAAATTATTTTTATTTCAGACATTTTTGATGTTGTATAAAGAATTATACTACCGTCATATTTTTGCACGTGTGCCAAATGGACCATCAACTAGACAACGTTTTGGATCATTCTACAACTACTGTGATCTATTCAATTACATTTTTAGTATGAGAATTTATTTATTATCTTTCTTACAATTGTTTATTTATCATATTTAATTATATTGTAGCTTGTGAAACTCCGGTAACATTAGAATTACCTGATCAGTGGTTATGGGAACTTGTGGATGAATTTGTGTATCAATTCCAATCCTTCACTCAGTTTCGTTCTCGACCTCGTAAAACACAAGAAGAGATGGATATGTTAGCTTCCAATAATGAAGTGTGGAATGTTTTGTTGGTGTTAAATGTATTGCATTCATTCATCAACAAATCTAATATCAAGTTGCAATTGGAAGTTACTGCAAGTGGTGGTGACCCAGATTCTGTAGCTGGAGAATTTGGTCGTCATTCTTTATACAAAATGTTGGGTTATTATTCCATGATTGGGTTATTACGCTTACATAGTCTTTTTGGAGATTATTATTTAGCCATCAAAGTTCTAGAAAATATTGATATGCACAAAAAGGTTAGACATATTAATATAAATAAAGTTGAATAATTTAAAATTAAATGTTAATTATTTAAATGATATCTAGAATGCATACAGTTCAGTACCAGCTTGTCACATTTCTACTGCATACTATGTTGGATTTGCTTACATGATGATGCGTCGTTATTCTGATGCAATTCGAACTTTTAGTTCGATTTTGTTGTACATTCAAAGAACAAAGCAACTCTTCCAAACACGATCTTATCAAAATGATCAAGTAAAAGTTATTGTGATAAGTTAACAGTTTTTAAAATCTGTATTTATGTTTTTGTTACAGATAAACAAACAAACAGATCAGATGTACACATTATTAGCAATGTGTTTAGTATTGCATCCACAATGTGTAGATGAGTCAATCCAACAGGTATTACGTGAAAAAAATTATACTGACAGAATGTTTAAAATGCAGTATGGTGATTTACAAGAATTTGAAAATTGTTTCCAAATGGCTTGTCCTAAATTTTTATCTATGGATCCTGCTGAAGATTCAGTAAAAGAAGCAGTAAAATATCAAACATCTGTTTTTATGGCTGAAGTCAAACAACAAAAAATGTTGCCTACTATTCGCAGGTATTGACTTATCATTAATTTTTTTTTTTTTTATATATAGTGCAATGTTGAATATTTTATTGTTTATTATTTTGTAAAATATATCTAATTTGTAGTTACTTAAAATTATACACAACACTACCAATTAATAAATTGGTGACATTTATGGCACAAGGACAGGGACAACGTGAAAGTAATGAACCAACCGATGATAAAGAAAATTTGACTAAACATCTATTATGTTTTAAACACAAAATGAAAAATATTGTTTGGAATAAAGGTGCATCTGGATTAGATGGAAGCTTTCATTCAGGATCTGAGGTTGGTCATATTTTTAGTTTATTAACATTAGCTATTTATTTAATTATTATTTGATAATATTAAAAAAAAAATTTATTTTTAGTTGGATTTTTATATTGATCGAGACATGATACATATAGCAGATACCAAAGTTGCTCATCGTTATGGTGATTTCTTTATAAGAAAAGTATTGAAGTTTGAAGAACTAAATCGCAAGCTGAAATCTATAAAAGTGTAACCAATAGTTTATTTATAATTTCTTAAAACATTACAAAATAATTACTTTTACTATTCTTATAGTACCTTTGTAATAAAATAAATATATTACACAGTTTTTGTATTTCATAATTTTTATTACTTTAAATTTAAACTATACAATTTATATTATGCCTGAAGTCTATTATATTCATTGAAAAATTGACTTTTCTTGATTGCATCCCATACTTTGGAACAATAATGTAACCTGTAAATAAAGTCAACAATTTTGGTTAAAAATAATATAAAATATATGAATTTTAACGTTCTTCATCATTTAATATTAATTTAGTAATAATGAATGCTAATTTATTACAAATTTTTATTATATCTCATAATTTTTCTTTGGCTTACCAAGTTTTTTCAGTTAATTGAGTGTGTGTAAGTGGTGATATTGGTAAGCCCAATAGTTGTTTTCTGAGTTCTTGAATTAGAATTGATTGGCCTGGGTGCATTTTGTGATAACCATTCATTTCTATATAAAAATATATATAATTTTCTAATACCACTGAATTTATATAATTCTCCCTTGCACACAAATTTTTATATTTATAACATTTATAATTTAAATTAAACTCTAGGAATTAAAAGTAAAAAAAGAAAGTACTAGGAATAATTTCATTAATAGAAAAAAAATTATATTTTCCATTTAATAAATAAACAAATTTCTAGATTTATTATGTACTGAGTGGTACATGAAAATACATCATAGATGCGAATAAAAAATCATTTGAAGATCTGGATAGCAATTTTATTCTACTAAATATTGTTATATCATTCAAATTACAGGATATTAAAAAGGATAATTTTAAAACCTGTAACTTTACATTACTTACCAGATTTTTTTTCTTTTTCACTATTGGCCAAGACAAATAAATTAATTGGATCACCACAATTTGATGGATTTAATTCACTAATAACATTGCCATTAGCAATACTTATTCCACTCTGTATGTGAAGACGAGATCGTGCAAATAATTGAGCATAGATATGCTAAAAATTAAAATAATAAATTTTTCTAAAAAATATAATTTATATTAAGTCTATTACTCTTACTTGTACTGTTTTAATATTTTTTATACTAAAATCTGAATAAAATGATTTATTTTGCACAAAAACAATATGAGGAAAATATTCTACAAGTTCTTCATTGCGATGTGAAGTTGGCATGGGTGGCTTTAACATTTCAGCTGTTTGTAATATTCTAAAATCAAACAAATGCATACTAAAGTATATATAACTATTTTATAACTTTATATTTACTTAAAAATATTGGGATCAAAAAACCAATCTTGGACTAACAACACAATATGACATACTGATAATAAAAATGCAGCCAGCTGCAAAGAAATCATTTCATTGTCAAATGGTAAACTTGATGAATCAATAGATTGCACTATACGTTTTTGACTCGTTGAGTAAGCAACCGATGATGATAATATAGGTTGACAGTCTAACAAAATAACTCTATTTTTAGTTATAAAGGCATCAATACCAGAAGTACAATTTTGTGTTGTTTCTAGATATTCAGATGTTGTAGTTGGAAACACATTAGGCCTGGAAATTATAATATTATAACCCTAACACTGAAATTATAAAAGGGCTAATTAAAAATATATAAATTACTTGTTTGCAATATAAGACATAAGGGTTGACTTTCCGACTCCTTGCAATCCAAGGCAACCAATAACTAAGAAATCAGTTTGTTCCAATAAACTGTTACTTAAGCCTTCATTAAGAAATTGCATATAATCATCAATCAATTTAACTGGTGTTTTCATTTCAGCTGGAACTTGTACTTGATCTTACAATAAGTTTATTATTAAATGTTCACAGTAAATGTAAATAAAAAAAGTAATTAATACCTTCATTTCCTGATTTTTGTATACAAGTCTGATAAGATTCTTCTTTTTTGGTTCTAAGAAGATGATTATAAAAGTGGTTGAATCACAGAATCATTAGTAATTTAGTACATATGACAAATATACTTAATATAATAATATAGAATGTAATTTTTAGTAACAATATGATTTTGAATTTTAAATTAAAAATTAAAATTAAATTGTAATAAGGAAATATTAACTAAAGACAATTTAGAAAAAAAATTACATAAAGATACTGACTCATTTATGAATAAAAATAATAATAAAACTAATAAGTCATTATGCAAATTAAATGTTATAACTAAAAAATGAACTCCCTAATTTACTACATTAGACAACAAAGAATTAATAAGCTAAAAATCTGAGATTTTAAGTTATCAAGACTATGAAAAAATTAAAAAGCTGAAGAATATGTATATTCAATATTTAAAAAACTTGAATAATTACATAATTTGAGGAGTACACTTCTGAGTAGGCGACAAAGATCTATTTTCTGTATCTCGAGGCTTTATTAAGATAGTTGGTTGTGAATGACATTTTTCAGGTTCTTGGATTCGTTCAATAGATCCATCATGTTTGGCCAATACTATTGGTAATCGTTTGGGACCTGTTTGTTTAAGATCATCTTTTATCTAATAAAATTTTATAAATAAATAATTATTTACAAACAGAATATCATAATATACAGGTATAAAAATTAATTCTAAGTTTTAATACCTTTTTAACTGGAGACTTTTTTCCTTTATAATCTTCAGAATAACCTTGAGACATTTTTATTTTTAAACAGTCTCAATTAAAATAGTTATTGATATTCACATACATTTTACCAAACCTTAAATTGTTTAAAATGTTCTAATTTATAAAGTATGAAACGCTAAATACTTAAATATAACATAGATAAATGCAACTTACAAAATAATATGGTACAATTTTTACAAGTATCTTTCGTAAGATAAACTTATAAGTTTACTACAAACTATTAAAAAAATCAGTAAAACAAAGTTCTATATAAAATTATTCTAGTATAAAATAGAAATTAATTAGTAAAAATAATTCAGTTTATCTTTGAAATTAATCAAATTACTTATCAATCATTAGTATCAATATTTTAATCACAAGGAACAAATGTATAGAAAAGAGAGTACATTCTACTTTTCAACCACAGACTTCCATACTACACTAGATAAATAACTACTATATAATTTACATGGCTATGAGTGAATCTGATAAGATGAACAGACGCCATTTTGTCGGTTGGCAACAAAATCTATTATTCTATATGCATCAAATACTTATTTCCTTGATATTTCTTAATTAAATCAGATTTAAATAATGTGAAAATTTAAGGATTAAACCAAATATAATTAAAGAAAAAGAAAACAATGTTTATCACAAATATATACATTAATTTATTATTAAAACGTACACAGTATACAATCACATATTACTAAATAATACTAATTTGGTCAATTGTCGCCGTTTACTAACAATAGAAGACGTTTTTGATTTGGCAACATGATGTAGACATATTTTTAAATATTCCTTACAGATTAGTGTTACTAAATGTAATCTATGATTTTCTAAAAATGAATGATCGGAACATGTCATATTTTGTAAGATATTGAAATTATAATCATAATTTTTGGTTGAAATTATTATTTTTGCAGATAAACCAGATATATGAGAAGTAAAATTGTTGTTAGTTAATTTGATTAAAGAATTTCCAATATATTTAATTAATTTCATAACATTTTTTGAACTCTTTAATAATCCACCTCCATTTTTCACATCAGTCGATACAGAATAGACATGTTTATGACTATAGTTATGTTCACTTGATTGTTCTATAAGATTGTCTACACATGTTGAACAATCAATTATTTTAAGAAACTTTCTAACAATAAAACCAGTAATATAATAAAGAATATTATCCTTAATAATTCTGGATTGGTCAGTCTCACCTACCAAAAAATCTAAAAACATCTGTTTCATAGATGATTTAAATTCTATTACATTAGGGTTATTATTATTACCAAAACGCTGACGAATTTTGGAGAAAAATATCTCTAAATGGTCCTGAGAAAATTTATAGCTTAAAAGATATTTGTACGAGTGAAAAACAATTTTCTATTAAATAATAAATAATTAATTGTAAAAGAATATTCAATATAATGCTGCACAAGACTAAATGTAACGTTCAATGTTTTGCCAACCGACAAAATGGCGGAAACTGATAAGCCAAGTTTCAGTTAATATCGACAGTACCTTATCTAGTTAGTATAGAAGTCTGTGTTTTCAACATTGGACTAATAATGATAACATTATAAAAAATAATATTCATAGATAGATATCAAATCCGGCAGACATGAGGAATAAAGATTTATCAATGATATTTTATAGTTCTAATTAATATTTTACCGTTTTAGAAACTGACAAGACGCTGTAACGAATCAAATTTCTTCAAATTTCCGTTTTAAGTTCCTAATAATGTATGCCTCAATACATATACTTTAAGTGGCCAGTTCTCAGTTTAATGATACATTGATTAATCACTTTTCAGTATGATGCTAATGCAACGCTTATTTCCAAACCTTGTGACTAATAAACTCTGTAGTGCTAAAATATTAACGAATTTTGTAAGTATTATCTAAAATAATGCATTTCAAAAAATGAATATATTTTTTTGTGTTTAATATTATAATACCATATTAATTACTTATTAGGTACTTAGATGTACATATGGTTTAAACAATGTAGGAAGTGATGATCCCGGTGTTGAAATTCCTGAAAAAAAAATTGTTGAAGAAAAAACTAGTTTAGCCATGAGGGCATATCTGCAAAGAGCTACACAATACAGTAAGTAATGTATATTAATACACATTTGGTATTAATATCATTTAAATTAAATATTAAACAACTATAAAAGCTAGAAATCATTAAAAATACTGATATTTTACTCAATATAAAATTATATGGTTCTATTGTATTATCATATATAGTTCAAAAAGTCTTCAAAATTATAGCAAACAATTTATTTGAGGAAATTGTTATATGTAATCATATTTTAAAACATTTTTAATCTTGAAACTGAAAACTATAAAATGTCTGTGAGAAAATTGTGATTTCTGAATTAATTAGTTAAAATAAATTAATGCATTTTTAGTTGAGTTTTTTTATTATAAGGTTAAGTATGTATGTAATGATCATATTTTTAAAATCATTATTAATCTTAATTAATCAGTATAAAAATATACTATTTATCAGTTTTTTATAATCAAATATAAATATATATTGTATATATACATTTTAAATTTCTAAAATAATTGTGCATTATGTATTATAATATTCTTATTATTAATAAACTGAATGATCAATAATTATAATTTATACACAAATATTCACAATTGTAAACTTTAACTTTATTTATTATTTGTTAAAAACCTAGTAATAACAAAATATTTGTTGAAACAATAAAAATTAATAAAAAAAAAATTTCTTAAATAATATGATGAATCATTTTTTATTCTTTTTTCAGATAGCTTTATGGATCAGCAAATACATGAATATAAAATTGGGAAACGACATTTAGCTAATATGATGGGTGTTGATCCAGAAACATTTACTCAAAAAGATATTGATGTTTGTTGATAATTTTATAAAATTTAAGATAACCTCAAATATATAAGTAGTTTCGATATGAAACTATGTTTAAACCATATTTTTAATTAGTTTCTTCATGTGTACATTTAATTCAAAATACATCAAATCAACTGAATAGTTCAATATTTATCAAATTAATTAAATAAATACATTAATATATATATTTTTATCAATTAAAAATACAAAAATTATTCTACAATAAAAAGATCTTAACAAAAATATCTCAAGTCTATTTAATTAAATTATTTTAAGTCAATTTTTGTTGAACATTAAATTTTCTTTGGAAAAAAATTTTTTATGTATTTGGAGAATCTATTGGAATCTTAATTTTTAATTTCTGAATGCAAATTAATTTTAGTTTCTGAGCAAAGCCAAAAATGGAATTTTTAATTAATTTAATTATAAATTAAAGATCTGAAATTTATAGTACTTAAATGACAGCCAAAATATATAGACATTTTTAAATTAATAAATTTATTAGTTAATAAAATTAAATAATTTGCATTTGTTTTTTCAAAAAATTTATAAACAGTTGTTTTAAATATGACAATTTTGCCATCAATATTATTCAAATTTAAGATATTGAAAATTTGTGTCATAAAGATCTGCATTTTACTTATTATGTTGATAATAATTTACTAACATAATTTTAGGCCGCTATTGGGTATTTATTCCCTTCTGGTTTGTATGATCCAAAAGCAAGACCTTTAATGAGACCACCCAGTGAAGTATTTCCACCAAAAAAAGATGCAGAATTTGATGAATCTGGTCGTCCATTTCATGTTTTTTTTTATACAGGAAAACCAAACTTTTATTCAATATTACACGTGAGCTATATAAAATTTATAAATATACATTTATATTATTATTATTATTATTATTAAATACCTTTACTGGATACTTAAGTTGATTATAATATAACAGTTTTAATGAGATAGAAATATGTAACCGACCACATAGCTATCCGCAGGGGTACTGGGGAGGGGGCATAGCTGCTTTAGATAATAATTTGTATAACAATTTATTGCATTTTATATAGCAGTATTGGAGAGCGATAAAGAGGATTTATAAGGTGAAACAAAATTGTTTGTTAGTTTTCAATATCACTATTCGGTATTTGGTTTTATCATGGTTGTAAGCCCATATCATAGAGTAACTCTATAGTCCCATGTACAATTGTGGTTTACACTACCACTAATCTCCCCCCCTCCAAGAAAAATTTCTGCAGACAGCCTTGACCAGTTATCATATTTAAACAAATATAAACATGTCCTTTTGGACATTTTCTAATGAAATATATGCCTAACCTTATTTATTATGGCTTAAATGAACTTTTAATTGAATTATCCATTAACAAAAGAAAATTGAAAGAGTAAATTTGTTTTATTAGTAATGCTATGAAATATTAAGTCAATGAATATGTTTATTAATATCCTGTGTGTGATATTTTTTTTTATTATTTTAGAATATAGCCACTAAATTAGTAGAATTAAATAAGTTCGAAGACAGTTTGAGGAAAAACAATATACTTCCTGATGCTGACAAAAAATTGTAAGATTTGTGTATGATGTATTTAAAATACTGGAAATATTTTTAAAATACATTTTTATCCACAGAACTTCTTTTGGAAGTCAATGGTTATCTAAAGAAGATTTAGAAAAGAAAACGGTTGAAAGGCTTTCAGACCATGAAGTAAAAAAAAAAACTTTATATTTTAGTATTTAAATTATAAATAATTCTCCAATTATTATTTCATTGTTACTGATACTACATTAATAACTTTATGAAAAAAATGCATATTATTTTAGACTTAAATTGATTGAAGTACTAAATATATAAAACATTCTTTTTGAGGATTTTTTTTGAAATTTTTAATTTTTTGACTGACATGATAAATAAAACAAAAAAAAAAATAAAAAAAATAAAATAAAATAGTAGTATAAAATGGAAACCATTTTAATAAAAAATATCTTCCATTAATATTGTTTTTTTATAGATAATCTCAAATAAAACTAATTACAATTTGTTGAGAATAGATTTGATAAAATATTATTACAGTTTAAATTAATTATTTTTCTGGATTGATAAATATTTGTTTTCTTTTTATAAAAAAATATAGCCTCAAATAAATGTTTGATATTATATTATATTTATTAATTATTACAGTTTTTATTATGTGCACTATGTAATTATTTTATTTTCATTTCAGTACAAACATTTTGTTGTTGCAATTGAACGATTGTTAAACCATGCATGTGCATATAAATTAACTGAATTTATTTCTGAATATCAAAAACCTATGATATCAACTAAATCCATTGTTGAATCATCACCAGTAACTATTAATTTTTGAATGTGTATTTAACATTTGTGTAATGATTAATAATGTTTAATTTTAGGTCCTATACACAAAAGATGGACGAGCTTATGTTACTGTGAAAGGTATTAAAAATATATATCTGGTGTTTCATCATTTAATAGTTTGTTTTGTTTTTGTATTTAGATTGCCCTAGAAAAGATGCTAGAGCTGATGTTACAGTTTATTATCCTGGAACAGGCAAACTATCAATAAATGGAAAAGGAATTGAATTCTTTGACTATATTCAAGCTAGAGAACAGGTAAATTTAATTTTAGTTTAATATAATATATTTTTAACTGTGGACAAAATGAAGAATATCTAGGCCTTTTTTATTTGAAAAATTGTTTATTATTTTAATCAGTGAACATTTAACTATTGATCATATTTGTTAGATTGTTATATTTTTATTTTAGATTTATTTATGTAATGCACAATTTATTTTAATGATTTTATTTTATTTTTCTCATCAAGTATTTATATCTCTGACAACTGTTTGTACACATTCAATCGGTGGCAGATCTAGGATTATAATTTTTTTTAAAGAAAGGCAAATAGATCAAAATGCAGTGATCATTTTGAAAAGTTATTACCATATTCACAGTTATAATACTTGTGTAATTTAAACTTTGATTGTAGGTTTTATGTTGTTTTTAAAAAAGCTTTGAACTTATATATCATTTGGATCAAAAGTAATCTCTCTTCTTCAATCCATGTGCATCCACAATTACATAACTATATTTACTATTAAATTAATAAAACCTAATTTAAGCCAATATGGAGGCTATGCCTCCCCCCCTTTAAATCCACCATTGCATTTAATGCATTTTTAATATAACTATGATATTATGATATTAAAATAGTTAATTTTAAAAACTTGTTATCTTTTCAATAATATTTTTAATGTTTTTCATACTAATCTTAATTTTTCAATTATTTTAAATTTAGTACCTTTTAACTTTCTAATATCTATTTAATTCTTTTATTTTATGTAAACCATATTTTAAATAGATAAACTTACAAAAAAATTTAAATGTGTACACAACTAGTTTAATAATGTTGTTGAAGTTTGTATTAGGAAAATAATGATGATGAAAATAATTGTATACAATTGAAAAATAATAAGACCAAACTTTTTTTTCAAAAAATTTGGTTTTCCCATCTCTAATTCAAGTTACTACATATTTTTTAAATTTTTAAATGAAGATATTATTTCATTCTTATTTACTTTACACAATTATAATATTATTTGTAGTCTATTTATTTAAATATTCATAATAATATTTTATTAACTATAAAAATTAATTCTAACTCCCTTTATAAATTTCATGGTACATTTACATCATATTAATTTGATAATTTATCTTTTCTTAGTTATTTTTTTAACTAGGTATTCAATATTGATTTGCATTAAAATAAAAAAGTTATTTTATTTTTATTTTTTATGTTGATCAATTTTATATTAATTACAAATTTAAAATATGAAAAAATATTTTGCCATTAGTCTATGAAGTTTAGTGTATTTATTTAAAACTTTGGCAACCACAAATATTTATATTGAACATGCGTTTCTTTGAATATAAATATATAAATATAAGTATGCACTATGTCTTTTTTAATTAAACCAATACTGTGTCAATATTGTAAAAAGTTATTAAAAACCACCGAGTGTCTTAAGATAGTTTATTTACCATTAGTCAAAAACACATTGCTTTTAAAATTTAATTCTATTATCAACATTTTATACGATTAAATCTGAGCTCTAGCTTGTTTTTGTTTATATTATCATTGAAAACAAATAGCTGTGTAAACACCAGATACTAAGAATTGAAACTCACAATGTTTATTTATAAATGTTGAAAGTGTCTTTTATAGTAGTAATATTGCTGGTGTTTGCATTCTTACAGTTTGATTTAGTCATATTTATGTTTCAATCTTTTAAACAATTATAACTAATGATTTTTAAAATAGTATAATTTGTGGTTTAAGAGCTAATAAGGATATTTTTTTTTGCATTTTATGTATTCTATTCTATTTGAAGATTTTTCTTTTGTCAAGTTAGCAATATCTCAATTTACTCATGATATATGACTATTATTGTATAAGATGGTTCCAAGTTAAATTTAAGTGTCATAGAAAAGTAAAAAAATATGACCCTTATATATCAAATAGCTCCTGTTTCTTTGGAACTAGACATGTAATTTATCATGAAAAATATAACAAGATCATTTTACTTTTCAATATTATATTATAATGAAGCAATATTTTTTACACTTTATCAATAAATCAATATGTTATTTAAATACAACAGACAATAATTAAATAATAAAAGTACCTAATATTTGAGAGTATTTATGAAGCTTTGTTGATAAGCTGTATTAAAAGATCTTGTTGATGATGCACAATTTCTTTTAGTTGTTTAATTTCTTCAACAAGAGCTTTATTTTCCATTTTATTTTCTAATACAGCTTGTTTATAGTCAACCGTATTTAATCGTTTTTGTCTTGCTATATTTAACGCATCTTCCATTATGTCTCTTGGTAATCTTTTTTCTGTAGGATTTAATGGTTTTACATAAAGTACAACTCTATATGCTGATGGTGTAACTCTTGCGCTCCAATTAAAAAAATTTATAACACGTCTTGGCAAGCAACCTTGAAATAATGCTTGTTCTTGAGAATGAATAAGCTGAGTTTGTCTCACAAGTTTAGAAAGATCAGCAGTCTTGTGTAAACCTTGAATATCATGAACTGCTATTCCCACTAGTAAATTCATTAATACAACAGTTACAAATACAATGAATAGTATAAATGTTATATAAGCACTAACATCAAAAATTACTGGAGATTCTTCAGATTTCAATAACAAATCTATATCAAGCTCTCCTGTCATCATCACTAATACCTTTACTATACCTATTAACGGGTTATTAAAATCATTTGATGCAGGAAATAATGTACAAAAACTTATTGTAAATCCTATAAGCAAGCATGAGTAGGCTAGCAACAATTTAGCAAATTCCTTTTGGACTTTAGTAAACATTGCAATGTATGTTCCAAATATAGGTAACTGACCAATCATTACCATTAAATTTGACCAACCAAACAAGACAGAAAATGCTCCAATAGGATTTTGCCAATCATATGTTTTATTTCCATATAAAAAAGATGTTAGAAAAACACTTGCAACCACAAACCATTCAACAATGTTAGTGATGCTTAAAAAATATTGTTTAACTGATGTAAATCCTGTTATACCAATTAATTTTCTAATTATTATAATAATTGTAAATACTAACAATATATACCAGACAAATTCTATAATTCTGTGAGATATGTGTTGTATATTGAACATATTGACCTTCAAATTACAGGCATTTTGATGTTTCGATTCATTTAGTTCTTGACTCTCTGTTAGTTGTTGGTCACCTATTATGTTTTTGGATTTATTATAACAATCATGTGCTAATGCTGTCATTACATAAGAAGTTAAAAGTAAAACAAAAATGGCATCAAAAATTAAACGAACAAAATAAAATCGACGAATTTTTTGCCATTTTAAATATAAAAATGCTTTACACAATGGATGTTCAAGCATAGATTTTTGACCACACTCTTCCAAAGTATGTAGTAAGATAATTTCTCCCTGACTTGGATTTTGTAATAAGTATCGAAAATCCATTATTAGTTCAACTTCTTTGGCAGAAGCTTGATCGTTAAGTGAAATTGCTTGATCAAGTTTTTTTTTAATTGTATTTATACTTGTGGGTGTTTTTCTATTGATTATGCTTAAAGCACTCATTCCACCAACAGTTCTAGAACTTATATCAGCTCCTTTAATAATCAAAAAATCCACACATTGGGATAATTCATTTAAAGCAGCTATGTGGAGTGGTGCATATCCATATTTATCTTGAATATTGACATTTGCACCCCATTTTACTAATACTTCAACCACATGAAAAGATAAGAAAGCTTTACATACAGCTGAATGCAAAGCTGTTCTTTTGTCAAAGTCTAAAGCATTTACATCAGCTCCTAATTCTAATAATATTTCCACAGATTCTGCACATTGAGCTTTTGCAGCTAAATGTAAAGGAGTTTGTTTTTTATCATTTATTACACTGTGAGCAGACCCTGAATGAAGTAATATTTGAACGCATTCTGTATATCCGTTTTCAGCTGCCATGTGTAAAGCTGTTGACTGTTTTGATTTAGAATTGAGATTGATTGTTTTATTACTTTTTGCTAAAATAAGCTTTAAACATTCAGTGTACCCCTTTTCTGCCGCCCAATGAAGTGGTGTATTTCCATTAGTATCCAAAGTGTTTGGATCTATACCGATATGCAAAAGATATTTAACACATTCTACAGAATTGGCTTGTACTGCACAGTGTAACACTGTATCAGTTACTTGACATCCCTGGTCTATTAAGATTTTTGTTGTTTCTAATGCATTGCCCATTACTGCTGAATGTAATGGTGTATATCCATTCTGAATTATATTTATGTCACAGTTTTTTTTTATAAGCCATCTGAAAATCAAAATTAAATATTTTTATAAATTATATACTAACTATGATAAAGTAAATATTACATCTAACACTACTATACTAAACACATATAAAAGAAAAGGATTTAAAAGTAGAGAATTTACAAAAAAACCTAGAAATGTTCACTATGTATTTCAAAACATATCTATATCAATATCATCTATATCAAACTAACTATACTGAATTTATATTATTTAATTGAATAATTTTTTTTTTCATTATGCCTAAAATATTGCAACAAATTTTGAAAAAATACTAAAAACTAGTAACATACATGGTATTACCATAATTTGTATTAATATTTTACTGTAGGTATAAAAAATATCTTTTCAAAACATATTTTCTTAACATTTTATGAATTCAAAATATAGATAATTTTTTAGTCCAAAATCCAATTTTAAAAATTAGTTGTAAAAAATTGTGTATAAAAATTAGGATTTTACTTAAGGGACTTAAATTATTTAGACCTTTTTATCACTTGGATATTTATTTTTTTCTATTCTCGCTACACAGCTAAAGATTAATTAATGTCTCTTAATGTTTTAAATGTTTTATTCATAATTTATTCATTCCTTATTTTTATATAACTAAATCAAAATAATACAACACAATCTAAAAAATGACAGAAATAGAAATAATTTTAAAACTAAAAATAAAGTATTGAATATGAGATTTAATTAATTTTAAATAATTTTTAATAATTTTTTATATAGTATTATTTTTAATACTTTCTCTTTATTGAGGTGAATGAAGAGAAACGTGTATCCTCACGCACAGTTGGAAGTCATTATTTATGAGATAGTTTAGTAATCAGCCCATTTCATCAAAAACCTATTATATCTAATGTACTGCTACCGGCTTTTAATTTTTTTTCTTATCCGTGTTTTTTAGCTGTATTTTAACTATAAATTAAATTATAAATAAATTATTTATTTATTTCCTTTTCATAATTGAATCGGTCATTTTGAAAAGGCCATTTCTCCATATATTTTCAATACTAGTTTTATGTGATAGATGTGTTAACTAATAATAATGCATATTTCCAGCGTGACCGCCATATCATAGTTGGTTTTTTATAAGAGAATTAAATCATTCAACCATTTTTCAATTTTTATCTAAATTTAATTTTGATCTCTAAAAACAGTTTTTTACGTTTCCTGCCAATTTTCATTTTATGGAAATATAGCCTTTTGAAATTTCATATTTTTTTTTTCTAAACAATGCTTGGTATTGCATTATTTACGTTAGTCTGATAATATCTTATTTCAGTTTTATGATCGTTAACATTATAGACGGATGTTGAAAATATAATCAACAAAATGATGTTTTGGTTTATGCGTGAATGTATATATTACTCGGGATAATTGACTAGCGGTTTTTTAAACACCTGTCTAATAAATTACCCCCCGTGAATTCATAAAGTTATGGTCATGGTACATAAGTTATATTTTGTTTGGTTATATTTATATATTGTTTAAATTAAAAAAAAAATTACGTTTCATGTTGTATTTATTTATTATTACTTATTATATTTTTTCGTGGTTCTTGAGTTAGGTACTAGGTATTATTATTTATATATTATTCCAAATAGTTTTCTCTTAGCTAATTTATTTTAAACAAATTAAATTTTCCATAGCAATCGTAATACAAATATACAGTGAAATATATTTAGTGAACATTTTGAAGTACTCGTATAATATAAAAGTCAAGAAAGTTATACTTTTTGGGTATATTCGTGCATGATATCAATATTATTATTACATTATCACAGACTATTATGGAACAAATTGATTACAAAAATGTGTCTTGCGAGTGAAACTCATTATTTTGGTCAAAAAGGCCATTAAATATTAATCCAAGTTACAAAATAAAGATTACCCACTAAATTTATGAATGATTTTGATAACTAATATAATTATTTAAGTATTGAGTTATTGAGTTTAAAGTTAAATTTTAAAATAATAATAGGTATTTTATTTCCGAATTAAATAACTGAATTCAATATAATCTGATTTAGATGGCAAATTACCAAATTAAAATTAATATTTTTTGTGTTATAAAAATAGATTATAATTAATTATACTTTTTTGTATCTTTTACGAAAATATTATATTCATGATTCGTGAAAGATTTCAAATACTTGTGTATAAATATCTAATAAATTAAACAAATTAAATATCTTTAAAAAAATTTCTGGTTTGAATTTAATTGTTTGAGAGTATTATTAAATGAACAACATGAGTATACTTTCCAATTATAAAATAATTAATTCGTTAAATAATAAAATAAAAATTTGGAATTACTACATCATATTTCTAAATTATATTATATTTATTAAATTTATAATATTATTAAACTTATCAAAATTATGATTAAACGATATGACCAGCGCCGGTGGTAGGGCAAGACAGGAAGGACTGTTGTTCAGGGGCCCTGCGCTTTTCATAATTAAAAATTAATCATTTTTGAGCCTATAATTTTATTTTTAGAATTAAATAACTAACGCCTCTTGTCATGTGAAAATGTATTTGGTATTTTAATCTTTTAATTTCAAAATGATGTCTCGTAGATATCTATAATGTAGTATGATTAGTATAATAATAATAAATTAATAAATAATAGTACATTGTTGAAGCTTTGATGATAAAATATTACATTCAAACTAAGGAAAAATATTTTTACATAAGTTTTGTAAAATAGAAAAATAAATTATGCGAGTACTAGGACATATAAGAAAAAAAATTCTTGGGCTCCGTAATACTTCCGCTGGCGCTGAATGTGATAGCTGATACGTAGGTACTTGAATATTATCAATAAAGCTCAGATATATATGTATTATACGTATTTTCACTGTGACTTGATAAATTAATGTGAGTAAGTAACTATGATTTATGATTTTTGTATGTTTTTCGATAAAATTAGCTATATTTAATATTTCATTTTTTTCTCTCGTATTTAGACAATAATATGGATATAATTACAAAATCAGAAACTAGTAACTTAACTTTTATTAAACGGTTAACAAATTTAAATTGCTGTCTAACTCAAATGGAAGCTATTAAAAATATTCTCTCTGCTTTTTTTTTTTGAAATTACTTCTGAAAAAATGTAAAAATGTCTCCTTCATTCATTGTCAATATGCAATATTGTTCGGTAACATTATTCGAAGTTTAAAGATCATTTAGTTGTTATAAAGTAGTTTCACGGCTAAATCGTCAGTCCTTTAAATTTGAAATGTATAAAAATGTACTTTGTCAATGTAATCAAGATAATTTATTTTTTTTTTTTAGATATTTTAGCTTCTTCAATTTATTACATTTTTAAATCACATTTCTACTTAATTTCCTCTTTGCCTCTATCCTTAACTCATAGACTATACATTACTAATAAATAAATCGAGTTAGTAGAATACATATTCTGAGTTTTTAGCACGAATTTTGGTTTAAATAAATGTTTCAGTTATGTACATAAATATAAATCCAAGCTCTTGTTATCAAGTATAATTCATAATACTATATTAGAAGTACATAACTTGAAATAACGTTTTTACTTTTTGGGATATTTCAGTTTAGCATCTATGTTTTTTGTGGAGTTATAAAAGCACAGACATTTGTTTCGTGTTTATTTAAAATAGTTTGATTATCCAGACAAAAATAAAACGAGAATGTTGCGTATTGTAGGTTCTGCTTATTCTGGATTCTTTTAAGACTCAAGAGTGGGTATTTACTATTTATGAGTTGTAACTTGCCAAACTGTAAACTGTAATTAATTTATGTTTGGAGCGTGGACAGTTATAAAAGTCTTTACATGTACAAGCCGTTCAAATGTCATATTTTTGATTTATCGGTCAACTCATATTTATGAAAAACCGTTATTGGCTGTAGTATTTCATCTAGGTGCGTCCATTAAAATTAAAATAAAGCAATCTCGTGGAAATATTGAAATTGTTCGTTTATCATCAACCGACATAAGCACGTAGGTCAGATTTATATTGTCGGTCCCAATAACCGATTTTTCTATTTTTTATTGAGACGTGCATCGGTGGATCTACAACATAGCATCGTATAACAATAGAAGAGGCGTGTCACCGCGGGTACAGAACGCGGCCGTCATGTTTGCACGTCAAATTCTGCGCGAGCGATAAAAATAAACGTTAATTGACGGCGGCACCGACACAGGACATGTGGAACGAATAAAACGCGATCATCGCCTTGGTGATCATTGCAGGTTTACCTGAGCGCGTCGGCGTTTCCCATGAAAGCGGCCAAATGTATGGCGGTGATGTTGCCGCAGTGCGTGTAGTGCAAGTTGGCGCCGCATTCGTGCAGCGTGTCTAGGCACTCGTCCGGTGCGCCAATGTACACGGCCCAGCAAAACAGCCTGTCCAGCTCGCCTTGGTTGGGCGGCGGATGCACGCCGCCCGGGTCGAACTCGTTGAGCTCCATCTGCTCCATGAGCTGGAGTCGTCCGTTGCACGTCCGCATCGAGTCCAACAGGTCGCGCCTAATGGTGTCCTTCCGTATAATGATCGATAGCTCGATCTCCTGATGACCGTCGGGCGCAGCAGTGTCCGTGATCGCTGGCGCGTCCGGCAGGCTCTCGATGAACAGGAACTCCTCGACGTTGGACCGCCGGTCGCGGTTACCGTGGCCGCTGCCGCCCCGTGGCCGGTACCGGAAACTGTACCACCGGTCCTTGAGCGACGACTGCTGCGTCGCCGTGGTGCTCCCGTGTCGGTTGTGCACGTTCAGGCTGATCGTCCTGTCCAGCGGCGTGGCCACCTCCAGGTGATGTCGGGTGGCGTCCATCGTTTCTTTCGTCCCGAATGGAAGGGTTTCTTTATGGTTCCTCGTAGCCGCGTCCCGCGATGTCTGTCCGGGCGAGTCGCGGATTCGCGTTCTTGGATATCCGAGACGCGACGACGTTTAATCGGGCGGCCGGCCGCGCGACAATGACGACGTGCGCGCGAGTACTTCGACGATTCGCTTTTCAATGCCCGGTGTGTGTATACGTACGCGATCGTACCTCGATCGTGATGTGATGCCGGGAGCGTGGCCACTATCGGAACTATGAGCGTATCTCCCTCTATGCCCCCCTCCCTGCCGCCCCCGTTCGACCCGCCACCCCGATCACGTGTGGCTGTCCGTTTCGTATATATTATGACCGTATTAATATATTATGTTGGTCACTAACACGTGGTGTGGTGACCGGTAACGCGCGAATCTACCGTGACTGCGTTTCTCTATCTATCTTTCTATCTCCGTCCGTGTGTGAATACCTAAATACGTATACATTACATTGACGCACATGACTACGGTTATAAAATTTAAAAACGTAAAAAAATAATTTATATACAATAACTATTCAGTATGATGAAAATAAATTCCGAACACGTAGACCGTTAGCTTTACAACAATCAAAGTCAAGGTCTATTATTTATCAACGTGCATACATTTTACGGATATTTGCCTCTCCCTCTATCATAATATCCTTAATTTCTAATTCTATTCTTATACATCCGAGAACTGTTAATTTATAATTCATACCGTTATAATTTCATTGATGTTTATAAAGTATTTAAAATTTTTAAAGCATTGACGTCGTGGTACGAAAACAATGCCCATTATTAATTATAACAATACTTACTAATCCAAATAATTTAATATCATATTTTATTAAAATATTATTAGAGATACGATTTCAATATTTGCATTATCGGAGTTTCTGAAATGTAATTAAAATGGGTTTTATCTTCAATTATGATTTCTAAGTCATGCATGTTCGGATAAGAAGTATAAAATTCAATATTTGGTTGTGAACTTCTATTATTAAAAAAAATATATTGTCATTATCTTATTGAAAACCTTAACATTATAACATGGTTTTACGCCTTATAGTTATATAAAACTTTATAGTTGTCAACTGATTATTGTTAATAAATAATATTGACATTAATAGTAATTTCAATTATTAACGGTTCTCTCTGGACATCATCCCTCTTCATATTAGCTCATGCTACCCAAATGTTTTCCTCGGCGCAATTGCTTATTGTAGATATTATGTTACAAAACGTACATTTTTATACTTAAAAAAAAATCTGAAATATTTATAATTATAAAGTACACGGTTAATAAATAATATCATGTTTTATATATACTCGTATTGTATACAATTTGGAACTATTTTAAATAAAATAAATAAATAAATATCTAATAATTTATCGAATTCATTTTATCGTTATTTATGAGATAATTTTTCTAAATAGGTATTAAAAAAAAAGGAGCCAAGTATTCAGATTTTTTTTTATCGGGTAAAACAGATAATGGTTAGCTTTGCGAAATTCAAACTTAACTAAAATATTATTTTTGACCGTACAATCGGAAAAATATATAACTGGTATTAAACATAATTATAAATATCGTATTATTGTTGGTCAAGAATCTTATGATATTATATGTTTAATAATTTAGTATTTATATATTAACTTTTTATTTCGTAAACAAATAGTAGTTTTTTGTATAAAAATTCTAAAGGGCGGTTAAACAATTGGATAATTTACTCATGTTTAATAGTAATATACCTTTGTGGACATTTACATATTGGACATTTTTATTCTAATTTATAGCAACTTGCATGTCTCGTTTTTCTATCCATGTGGGAATTCCTTCATCTACCATTTTATATTATGGGCATTTCACCTGAATACATGATATGTTACCTGACATAACTGATCGATTGAGAGAATTTTAGAAACTAGTCGTAAATTAGAATAATAATTTATAATTTGTTTAATTTAAAATATTATAAACATTTTTATTGGAATGTTCTAATGATTTCGAAAGATATTATGTATATCTAAATAAGTGTTATAACAACCACATAATTACTTTCATTAGACCAAAAATATCAGTTATATAACATACAATTATACTAAAAAATTATAATCGAAGTTGAGAAAATTACGTATCAATCTATTATTATTGGATTGATCAGTTTATATTTTTTCCAATAGCGTGCACATGGGGGGAGGTTAGGGGTTATATCCCCCCCCACTAATCTACTAATTTGTTTTGCTATAATAATACATACAATGCATGATTTCATAAAATGTAATATTATTATTTTACTTATATTATGAACTATATTTACCATTTAATATAAAGCACATCTAGTATATTATGTGGTTGTTGTTTCATGAAAATTAAGATAAGCAATCAAACATAAATTATGATTGTATGATTATACTGTGGTTATACGAATTATAAATTAATTGAAGAAACATTGTTATTGTTACTCTATTGACTAACCGCCAAAAACGTATTATCCAAGTGTTCATCAATTGATCAATGTGTTATAAACTATTATCAGCGAAGAAATTGTAACTTGTTATAAATTCATTTATATATTAATTATATTAATTTAATAAGTTAATTTTATAAATTGTGATTTGCTGAAATTATTGGGTAGGTTTTTTTTGAGTATTTTATAACTGCACAGTCAGTTAAAGTTTTTTATGATGTCAAAAAGCGAAGGAACAATTGAGTCATATTTTTCCAAAAAAACTAATATTGATCAAAGAGTAAGTTTAATAGATTAGCTTTGATGAATATCCATCGAAATATACAGTTTAAGACTGCTGTTATTCTAAATGAACTGAGTGCAAATCTAGGCGTTGAAATGTCCGTCTAGAATAATATAATAAATAAATTTGAATATGAATAAATAAAATTTTAGGTAACTATAGTAGCGTAGCTATACTCTTGCTACTCTAGCTACTCTTGTAGCTTTTAGTGGTATAATATAGTCATATTAAATTAATAAAATAGTAATTTATAGCAAATCAAAATATACTTCTAATTATAAGAAAAAAGTCAGAAAAGTGGCGTATTGAATGTCACAAGAAAACAATATATTTGTTCTTATTAAAATTTACCAGGTTGAATTATTATTTCCTTGCCTTGATTCAATTCTGATTCCACCACCAGATAATACCTCCCTCCATAGAAAATTTCTAGGCACACCATTGTATATACATCTACTAAAAATTTCAATTAGCTTACAAACAATTTGAACCTAAATATAGTTTTTCAATTTTCATATTAGTATTTAATACATGCTTGTAAACTTTTTTAAAAGCTATGCTTAAAATTGTTTTCGAATGCATCGATTTATTAGTCATGAAAGTGAATAATATACTCAAACTTAAATATACTTGCCTCTATAACATCCAACTTGTTTTTCATATATTTCAAATTAAATAATTAAAACTTATTTATATTACTTATACGTATGTCTAAAATATGTTTTAATTTTCATATTGTGAGCTATTTTTTGTGCGGCCGAATTAAAATATACTGTAATTTATAATTTTAATTTTATAACAAATTACTTATGCATTTTGTTTCATAGTAATATTTTTTTTGTAATTTTTCTTTGTTTTTAGATATTATTCCCGTTATTATTTACGGATATGATTGACAAAGTAGATATTGAAGCTACAGTCAGTGGTGGAGGAGTTTCTGGAAAAGCTGGTGCAATCCGTTTTGGTATTTCTTGGTGTTTATGTTCATTTGTGGATCCTGAAGTAGTGGAACGCATGCGAATCGGTAAAAAATTTTATGATAACTGATAAGTTGTGTTGTAAATGATTTAATAACATAATTTTTGTTTTCTAGCTGGTCTATTACAAAAAGATTACAGGAGAAGAGAAAGGAAAAAACCAGGTCAAGCAAGAGCTAGGAGGAAGTTCACTTGGAAAAAGCGTTAAAAAATTATTTTTGTTATATAAAAAATGTATAAATTCAAAGTACAATAAAAATAAAATAAATTAGATTTTTATTAATTGGTTTTTATTATTGAATGCCTATTTTAATATTTTAATATTATTAATATATAAAGTTATAATCATTTCTAGATCTACAATGTGATGCAGGGTATTAGAAAATTCAATAATGATAATAATTGCCTCTATCCTATACTTTTAAATTTTATTCTATTTTTATTTTAATCCAGAAGGATGCAATTACACCCCTATCACGTTGCTCCAGCTTCCAATAAAATGTGTCATAATAGTATATTTGAAACAAATATAGATTAATGACCCCTAAGAAAAAACACCTTTAAATTAGTCACCAATTTTTAAAAATAATTAAAACAATCTTTAAAAAAAAAAATAAAAGCAGCTGACATTCAAGTTTAATTGGAAAAATTAAATTATTTAAACTTAAATAAAGTAATTAAACTAAAATTGGAAATTCATTTTCACTTAGGAAACATAGTTATATAAATATATAATATTAATTCATATGATGTGTGTTCATATTATAATTATAATATATGTGAAATTAGGTATATTTTCTTTCTATGAATACAGAGTTAGTCTAAACCACCTGGATACCCGAATATTTCTGGGAAATTTCAGATTCATTCTTAAAATAGGGGCCCAACTGTGGGCGGATACACAGTTAAAGAATTCTGGGTCAGGCCAGTGGCGTGGTGATGTGGGTAGTCGTGAGGTGGCCGCCTCTCAGTTTTTTGGGGTGCGGGTGGGTATCGACAAAATATACTTGCCTCTGAAAATTGTTGAGTTCGCCACGCCACTGGGTCAAGCTATTTCAAGAAGCCACCTATTAGAGCTGAAAGTGGATTATAAATGTATTCTTGTAACAAAAAAAAACAAGTTTATTCATTATTATCATTGTAAACATTTATTTTATTTTATGGAATCTTATATGGGGTCTGCCATAGAGATGTTTTATTTTACTAACCTGGGATATCATTTTGGAGGTGGAAGTTGGGGCATTTTGTTTTTAACTTCAACTTATAGCCTGTACACTTAAAAAATATAATAAGTCCTCAAGAGGCCAATTTTGTCAACAAATATTAACTGTGGGTCAGCTGACCCCTCCTGAACCTCTCCTAAATCCGCTCCTGGGCTCAAAGCAATTACGCTAAAATAAAAAATAATATTAATTATTTTCCTGAATTAAATTAAAATTATGTTATTCCTATCTTAATCTTAGGATATTGTTGACGTGGTTTAATAAAATTAGATATAACGGTTATAGTTTATACATTTTTGTTCTTTTGATCAAAATCGATTAAATATAAAAGCAAAAAATGAGATAAATGTTGTTAACGGTTACATACAGGATCACAATGATAATTCAATAATATTGCTTTTGAAAAAATATAAAAATGAAAATAAATTAAAATTTGCAGTAAAGTTTGAGCGTAGCGAGAAAAAAAACAGTTTTATGGGGTATTTATTGAATCTTACTCTAATATTATGTTGTTTAGGAGCCCATTGTAATTTAAGACCAGAGACATAATCATGAGCCAGACCGACACTGTATAAATATGGGTTAAATAATAAAGCTATAGATACCATTTTCAGTAGTCGGGACATATTATACCATACATATTATATTTTATTTAAAAATGACTAACAAATATCGTACATGTTTTATTCATATACAATTGTTTATTTTAATCATGGTTAATCCTCGTATATTCTATTAGTTTGAGTGGCATTAAATCAACATTATGTACAATTAGTATTTAACATACTACAAATGTTAGTATTCACATTACTTATAATATGTTGATTTTCCATTACAAATATAATTATTTTAACAATAAATAAAAGACAATCATCACTGAAAAAAATTTGGTTCCAAGTTAATAATCAAAATAATACCTAAATTAAATTCAAAATCCGATTTTTTATAGGTACTGACGTGTATTACATTGCATTAATACATTTTTTTTCTTAAGCACATTAATTTTCTTAAATTATCAGCTTATATTATTAATATTCTCAGTTTTGTCAAAACTAAAAGTGATTACAATAAGCGATGACCATTGTTATGAAATAAAATGCATAATATTCTCAAATAACTGGAAAAGTCGTGAAAAAAGATTTTCAATTTAATTTTATGATTTTTCAAGCATAAATACCTATGCTTATTCTTTTGTAAACTAATATTATATAATCATAATATATTCACAGAAACCGACAGTATGCTTTTACTCTACCTGTTAACTTATATATTTATATAAATTTTAATTAATAAATAATTATTTATTTGTGTAAATAAAAATTAGAATAACAAAAATTACATAAGTTGTTAATACATAATATAACAATGTATTACAATGCGAGATCGCTATGGCCAGAGCCGTATTTAAGAGGTGGTTTGGGGAGGCAATAGCCCCCCTTGAAATATTTAAGAAGGCAGCAACATTTTAACGGTGATTCTAAATAAAATAAAAAATAAAAATTAGTTTGCTAATTAACTGCTTTATTTCAGCTAGGGTGGTAAATATTTTACACTCTTGCCTATGTTTTTATATAGTGTACCTATGCAATAAAATGTAATTTTGTTATTAAAATTTTTATTATTATTTTATAATATGCATGTATGATTATTAATTTATTCACTTTAAAAACTTAAACTTAATGCCTATGATTTTATGTTCTTAAGTGAATAATAATAATGATAATAATAACAATAATAATATAAATATTTACTTAAATAAATTCTTTCATTTTTAGATCCATGCCCGAGAATACGTAAATTATAAATACAATATTATGTATCCTGTACTATCAAATCTAAAACTAATAGACAGCAACAATGAAAAATGTCAACCACATTTTTAGCACTATAAAATACTTCATACTTATTGTAACAAAAATCTATTCTCAATTCAGACTTAGAATCCGATTAACCACGTCCAATTGTAATACTTATAAAATTAATCATTCTTGGTAATTTAAATATAAATCGTACGTATATTAGCTATACCACATGAATATATTCATATTTATACTAACTTTTTATGAATATTCGCTCTGAGAACTTTAATCTATTGGATGCGTGAAGATTTTAAGACACTTATCTTCACGAAATACAAGATAAAAAATATAATTATAAATAGAATAAGTAGATATTTTGTATATTATACATCAATAAATGAAGAAATAATACAGATAAGTATTTAACTAAGCTAATGAGACTTACAATGAATGGAAATAATAATTTTTTCCGTTATTAAGCATTGTGTTTTTCAGAGTTGAACTCTAACCTGGGAATAACATCACCTAGTTCCTTACTGTCATACCGATGAGAGAAGACGCAAACCAATTTTCATGTGTATTTCCCAATCGCTGTATAATATTTTACAAATAAAAGTCTATTGTCTATTTCTCAAATTTAATTATAAAAGTGTTGAAAGTTTTAGAATAATGTTCTTCTACTTCTACCAATACAGACAGTAATAAGTTTAAGATACAACTATAACTCGCTGTTTTTCTATACTTCTTCTTAAAGGAAAGGGTAATAGAATACATGGCCAATTAAAGTATCTTATAATTATTTATTGGCTGTATAGTACCTGTATAGTACAATGTTACAACTATTTTTACTTCAGTTTTCAGTTTTCTTTATTTTTAAATAAATGAATAAATAAAAATATTTTTATTTTTAATACAAATTTCAATCCAAGTTTAGTTTATATACTAGAACAAATCACCTATATTATTATAATTGGATTAGTACTTAAGTTAATATTTAATTGGTTATCATAAATTGATATTTGATGTCAGTTTTTATAAATTAAAATTCAATTTATTAAAATTTTACTTTAATTAATGAATTTAATTTCTTCATAATTTAAAATGTAACTGTAATTAAACATCAATTATTAACAAGATATGAGATTTTAAATTATTTAGAAACTTCTAACTGATTAAATGTGTTGTTAAATATACTTATGTACTACACTACAGTACATAAGTAAATTATATAGTTCATAGAACCTACAGCCAATACATTTAATCAGTTAGAAGTTTCTAAATAAGTAACTATATTATTAAACACTACTACCAATGATTAAATATACTTTAGTATATTTAATCATTGCTACTACCTACTAAACATATTTTAAAAGCGTCAAAAACCAATGCATTTTCGCTTCATTTAGTCTGCAATTCAAATTATGAATTGATGTACAATATGTCAATATTAATGTTCAATTTTTTTTTTATTACATGACTATACATGACTCATTTGAGAAGATTCAAATACAATGGAACCTCGATTAGTCGAACCTCGATAAGTCGAAAACCTTGATAAGTCGAAAAAAATTCTGCTCCCTTGCATAAACCTCGATTACTTGAAAAAAAACTATAGATAACTCGAACATATTGTGCTCCGAATATAGACGGATAATGACGGATAGCTTTATAAACATTTGTCTAAACATTCCGATGATTTTTTTTCTAATCACATTTATTGTGTTTATTATCGTATGTATTAACTAATCTCAGTACTCAATATTTTTCATTTGTATCGGTATTGCCAGTTGCGATCGATCGATTATGCGTGTGCGGTAATTTTTTGTAATTGTGTTTATCATCGTATGTATTTATTAACCTCGGCACACAATAGTATTTTTCATTTGTATCGGTATTGTCAGTAGTGCTGGCGCTAGGGGAGGACAAATAGGATATTTGTCCAGGGCCCCACGCTTGTTAAAAGGCTCCTATGATTTTAAATTATTATCTTAATACCTTGAGACACATTGACATTTTATATCCTAAAGACTAATGTTCAGGGCTCCGCAATACCTAGCGCCGGCACTTATTGCCAGTTGCTACTTAAAAACTTTAATACATGCATACATTTTAAAAACTCTTTAAGTCGAATTTTTTTCCAAAACCTTAGTAAGTCAAAACCTCGATAAGTCGAAAAAAATTGCATTTTCCTTGAATTACGACTTATCGAGGTTCCACTGTAGTTAAAATATATTTCGGAACAAAGTTCTATCGGCTTCTTACTTTTTAATTTTTATCAAAATTTTATAATACAACGTTAAACTACATACAACTAACTTAATAATAAAATATGTTCTAATTATTTCAAAACCATTTTGTACAAGTAATTTGTATAGTAGTAAAATATGCAAAAGTGTTTTACCCAATATTCTAGTTCCTTACTGATACAATACATTTTAATTAGATTTAATTATCCCTACTAAATCATCCCATACATTTCAAGGTTGACTTGTTTTTATAATTGTTTTCTTCGGTTAAAATTGCGTTGTACAAATTTGGTATAAAAATAACTAATTATTTAGGTACTCTAGCATAAAATTTTATTTAATTATGATGATAGCATTTATTATGTAATCTATACTATCTACATATAATTTATAGATACACACATTTAACGCACAGAAATCTGATTTCAGCTCAATTAAGGTGACTCACTAACTGGAATATTTTTTCCATAGGTAGCTTCAGTGGTTACCGTTTCTCCCACCAGTTATTGTAAGACGGAAGCGGGAGAACTGGTCATTGACAACGAAGACGTTTCAATATGAATTTCAGTGAGTGCAGTTCGGTGTTTCGGTCATAACGTAATTCACTTAGATAGTCTGATGTTTTGTTGAGCAATAATACACGTCAAACCGGCAAACATGAGTTTAAAAATACCTCGGCGTTTGAGTTTAGATGAAGGTACACGTGAGTATTTGGAAATGGGAATGGACTTGACGAATAAACGGAAGAAGTATTTTAGTTTTCATGAAAATTCAGCAAACACCCGTCAACATAGATCGGTATCGTTCGAATCATCGGATAGCAAAGAGGTAATCGAAGAAACTGACGGCGACGGGAGTACCACGGAATTGACTGTGGACGTTACCAGAAGTTCCAATCAGTTAAGCGTCAACAACTACAAGGAAATGGTAAAACAGTGTTTATTGGACTCGGCGAAAGGATTGACTAATGGTTATCAATTACTTCTCGATATCGAATCCAGTTCGGTAGACTTACACACATTAAATCGGTGTCCAAATCAGATGAAAAACCTAATAGTATTGTGGGCATGTTTCGTCAATAAGTGTAATGTTGTAGAAACATTTATTAAAGCTGCTGGTAATAGTGTAAATTACGTAATTCCAAATAAAGGCTATAGTGCTATTCATATAAGTGCGTTAAGTGGTTGTGTTAATTGTATAAAATGTATATTAAAATTTAGCGGGTGTAAGCCGGATTCCCGTGTTGACGATATGACAGCACTACACTTTGCCACCTTTACCGATTCCATAGATGTAATACAGACACTTGTCGAACATGGCTGTCAACTCGATCCCTCCGTGCTCCATAGCGCAGTAAAATCCAGAGCTGTTGAGTGTATTAAACTTATTTTGTTCAAATACCAGGTAGACGTGAATACACTAGACTCTACGGGCATGGCTCCTATACATATTTGTGCTGATCGAGGTTTTTCGGATTGCTTGAAAATATTGTTGAGTTGGGATAAGACCCAGATTAATATAAAAAACAACCAAGAGTTTACCGCGCTGCATTTAGCCTGCGTGTCTGCACAAGTAGAGTGCGTAAAGTTGTTGATCGAACATAATGCAAATGTAAATGCTAAAAATATGAAATTCCAAGTTCCTATACACAAGGCCGCAAAGGCTCAGAGCGTGGATTGCATTGATTTACTGATGAAAGCGGGGGCTGATGTCAACGCTAGAGACATAGATGATCGAACACCACTGCACACTGCCATTTCTCATAAGACATTAAATGTTTGTCTAGCGGTAGACACGTTGCTCAGTTACAATGCGAAAGTCAACGTGCAAGATCATTACGGATTCACGCCTCTCCATTTAGCAGCACTCAACGAGGTACCGGAATGTGTTGAATCATTATTAGCCAAAGGTGGAAACGTAGGTATTAAGACGTACGGTGGAATATCAACACTTAATATGATATTGAGAAAGGTGCCTTCGTGCGTTCCAGCCATATCCAGACAGCTTGATAGTGCTATCACATCAAATTGGGCCGCTGATGGTTTTAAACGCGATCCGATAATACATCTCCGGTTCAATTATTTGTTGAATTATAACGATTTTGGTGAGATTGATTTATTAAAATGTTTCCAGATAGAAGGCCAATACGAATTATTACAGCATCCTCTGTGTCAGGCATTTCTATTCTTGAAATGGAGAAAAATGCGAAAATATTATCTCATGCGATTGGTAAGTTTAGGATTATTCATTCTTCTCTATACATTTTATATAATGACTGTATTAAGTGCTAATTGTTACAAAATCGCTAAATCCGCTAATGGTACTCATGTTAATATGAATAATATGTCTAGTTTAAATTCACCCAATCAAGCTTCTGGTTCATCATACACAATCAACAACCAAACTGATGCCAATTGTTTCATGACAAATATTCACATAATGCACGTTAATATCAGTGTATTGTATTTGATCTGCATCATAGAAGGTTTTTTTAAAATATCTGAAATAGCAAGTTATATGATTACTTACCGATATTTCCTTTGCGTAAGTCACATTTCAGAATGGTTGGTTTTAATAAGCGTACCATGCATATCATTTCATTTTCATGAGCCTGTTTACTGGCAAAACCTCATCGGGGCCTTCTGTGCTCTTATTACTTGGACTAATTTAATGATAAAAATTGGTCAACTGCCTTGGTTTGATACTTATGTTGCCATGTACACAAGAGTTCAAAGGGAATTCGCTAAACTTCTTTTAGCGTACATATGCTTACTGATAGGTTTTTCTGTTAGTCTCTGCGTTGTGTTCCCTACTAATCCATGGTTTAGTAACCCATTTGTAGGGTTTGTCAAAGTACTTGTTATGATGGCAGGTGAGTTAGATATTTCAATCTTAGACGACACAACGTCAACGCCAGGAATGTCTAAATTCAGCGCTTACATCGTATATACAGCTTTGTTAATATTTGTATCAATTATATTGATGAATCTCCTAGTCGGAATCGCTGTACATGATATACAGGGTCTACGAAAAACTGCTGGACTATCTAAAATTAGGTGTCAGATAAACTTAATACATTATATCGAACTCTTTATGTTGAAAAGTATTTGGCCAAAAAGTTTTAAACGTAGGGCTTTAGTATTTCCTTCAAAAAATCGCACTCATTTGACAATCGAATCATTGAATCCAAATCAGCCATTACCGAGAGATATTATTGAGGCTTCTAGAGTTTTAATTAAAAGAAAAAACAAGAATCGCAGTGATGACAAAGAAACTTTTAAAATCCAAGAAATTTTAAAAGAAATAAGAATTTTAAGAGAAGTCGTAGAAACAAATCAAAAAGTCATAAAACATTTATTGATGAATGCTCACACTCCAAAATAATTATTTAAAATATCTGTGATTTTATTTAATTGTTTTAATTTTTAATTTTAATATTTTATTATATTTATATATATATAAATACTAAAATATGTATAAATATTCTATAAATAAAACGTCGATATACTGTAAGACATTTTTAATGAAATATGTAAGTGTATATATTTAATAAATTTGGAACTATGTTAAATGCCTAATTTAAAATTAATATTCTATTAAAAGACTATTTATTTTAAATGAAGAGAAACTTTTTTTTAATTCAAAGAAAATGTATTTTATATATACGAGAATTATTTGTTTAAATAGTAAATTGACCTTCGTAACTGATTTTTTTTTATATTCATACAATTTTATCAATATAAATAATACCACCAAAGGATCAAGTAAAATACGAACACTGACTTATTTGATGACAATGTAATTGATAATAAAAAACATCCGTAGTTCGTAACAAATATCAATATAGCTTGTTCATGATTGTATTTAAAATTATGTTTACATTGAAATATCAAAATGAATAAAATAATGTCCATATAATACTTTTCAAACTACAATTTATTTCATTCGTAAATTTATTTTTATATAATACTTAAGAACATCTAATTTAATGGGCAGTATAATAGTACTGATATTTTTATAAATTTAAGAACTTAACTACAGAAAATAAATATATTTGTAAAAAAAACTATACAACTTTACAAATAGCTATTTTTATGTTACGTAAAATATATCTTATTAATTGTTTGTGTATTTGTATTATTATTATTAAAATTTTAAACTTTATTAATCGACGATTACCATTTCCGTTAAAAACTATTTGTCTATTATAAGCATTTATGTCAATAGTTAATTCTGTGATATATTATTGTACAGTTTGTTGTAAACTTTTTTTTATCTATTTGTATGTTAATTGACAAAATTGTTTATCTATGGTTCAAAATATATAAAAATTAATTATTTCATTGTTAAAGTCTAAACAATAAATTATGTTTTTTAAAAGCATACTGTATATTAATTATTACTTATACTACATGTGTATGGGTACCCTTAACATAAAATTATTTTTATACTTTGACTATGCTTTTTATACTCAACAGTTTTTAAATATTTTTAAGTATCAAAAATACTTATTATTTTTATTTACTTAATAAAGATTTAGGACCAATAGATCCACAACTGACCAAATGTTCATTCTAAGACAAATCATCCAAAAACGTTTGGAATTTGACAAAGATGTATAATATGTACATATAATTTGTGGACTTCAGAAAAGCTTATAACTCTATGTATAGAGAAAGTCTCATTCTCAAAGATTTCAAATTTCCCAGAAAAATTATTAATCTTATTGGAGCCAATCTCAATCATACTGATAACAGGTCAAGATAGGTAACGTAACATCACAGCCAACTAGAGTAACGACAGGACTTCGGTAAGGGGATGCTTTGTATCCAGTACTGTTTAATTTAGTACTGGAGAGAGTTATACATGAGATGAACACTTTGGAGGGAGTTATATTAGGACAAATCAGAATTGGAATGCTAGCATATGCAGATGATATCGCTCTTCTTGGTGAAGATTTAGATATGATAAAGAGATTAGGAAGTAATCTAATAAATACGGCAAAAAAGTGGGCCTAACCGTTAATGAGAAAAAAACAAATTACCTTGTGGCTAGCCTAAGAAATAGAAATGGCGGTCGGGAACAATACATCAAAGTTGAAGAACTGAAGTTCAAAAGAGTGTCTCAATTTAAGTATTTAAGGTCGACGATAACGGAGGATAACGACATCAAAACAGAGATGTCAACAAGGATACAACTAGCGAATAGAGGATATTATGAACTTGAAAAAGTCTTGAAATCAAAGTCCTTATCCAAAGCCCTATAAATCAAAATGTACATGACTCTACTAAGACCAATTGTTTTATATCGCTCAGAAACTTGGGCACTAAGAAAAACAGAAGAATCAAGATTAATGATCAGGGCTCGTAAGTTCATACACTAAAAAATGCATAAATTAGCATGCATTCATGTACTAAAATTGGTAAAATATGCATTAAAATATTCACTAAAAATTCGAGAATATGCATTTATATGCCCTAACATTTTTAAATTATGCAATCAAAATATACATTATGTAAAAAAAAAAAAATCATGAGCAAATTTTAAAATAATAAGAATAAATCCATTTATTTTAAAAGTATTTTATTCGTTTTAATTTTTATACATTTTAATAAATCAAAATTAATAAATAAAAAATAAAATAAATAGTTGTGCTCGTTTAAGGCTTTGTCATATTCTTTAATTAGTCATTTGTTGTCTATGTCATCCATATCCAGCACCTGCAATGAAAATATTTAGAATGAAATATTAGGAATTTCATTTTAAGATAGGTATTTAAGTATTATATTTACTTTAGAAATTGCACTGTATGATTAGTGTTTTTTTTTATATTTTCCAACTTAAAAGATCGACGATTGTCTACCAATAAGTTTTTGAGTATGGAAAAGGATCTTTCAACATCTGCTGAAGTAAGGGATGCATATTTAAAGTACAATAAATCGTTTGCAGTCATATCTTTGGGTAGATCTAAATTTGTAATAATTCTTAGCCACTTAAAACTTTGGAAATTTTATAAATTATGTTGTATCCGATATTTTTTTCCAAAATATATTTTTTTTTTAATTTCAATTCCTTGATGTCCTTCTAATTTTGAAAATGTGTCTACGATTTCTTCGACTATTTAAAGTCCTTCACTTAATAGAATGCTTTGTTCTTGAAGACGCGTGATCGCTATTGATAGGCAATCAAAATTTGATTTGATATAAATCAAGTTGGTCTGTAACTGTTGGAGTTTGAATACTTGTTTCGATTTTTTTACTGCTACAGCATCTCTTTTATAAAATGATTCAACTACATGTTTTATAGTTTCAAAATTTGTGCAGTAGTACGATGCAGCAGTCAACCATGTACCCCAGCGAGTAATAACAGGTGAGGGGGGTAATGGTAAACCAGGTGCTTCATCTCTAAATGTTTGTATACGATATGGACATTTTCGAAATACTTGTTTAACGTTGGCCACTAAATCGTCTACATTTCCAAACTGTGATCGAATTTCTTCGGCAACACGATGTAGACCATGTGCTAAACAGGTGAGATGAATCATTTTCGCGTAAAAAGATTGTAAATTACGAGCTGCCTTTGTCATACACGGTGCGGCGTCAGTTACAAATAACAGGATATCATCGTACTGTATTTCGTCGGGCCATAGTAACAACAACGATTTGCTTAATGCTTTACATATAGTACTATGATTTGCTTTTTCCAGTTCATCAATGTCTTATAAAAATATTTCACCTGGGGAATCATGTAAGAGTGTTCCAATTATTGTGCTTACTATATACCTGCCCTCAACATCTGTGGTCTCATCCATCGATATCCATATTTTTTTACTGTTAACTTTTTTTTTAATCTTGTCAACCGTATCGATATAACATTTGTCAACATATCCTAATCGTAATGTCTATTCTACAGGGGTATCTTTCATAGTATATTTTTCAAGAAAACTTTTAAATTGTGGATTGGATAATTTGTTTAGAGGTATATTGGCAGCTAGCATCGCTTTACATAAATCTAAGTTATATTCACTTGTTTTTGATAATGAAGGTACGAGCAGCTGTATTTTTTTGTTTCCCTCCTTTCTTTGGAAACGTTGATCCTCACGTACATGCTTATCTGATGTAATGTGTTGTGAAATACTGAAACGTTTTTCACTAGATATTTTTGTTTCACAAATTTTACAGACCAAAACTTTATTGTCGGTTGAAAAAAAATCTGCACCGAATTTCGAAACAAAATGTTGCAAACGGCCTGCAACCGATTTTTTTTCTTTCGGCATTGTAAAATATGAATAATGGTGTTGATCGTATTCGTATATGCTACCTCTAAAACACGAAATCAAACGGACGAACGGCAATACTCATCGGCGAGCGCAAGAAAACTATACTGTGCAAATGTACAATAGTTATATTATTGATGCGGGGGACTGGTGAGAAACTTTCACGCGTGTACATGCGTGTACAGGTTTCGTTTTGACGAAAAACAATCGTAGCCGATAACATTGTTTCCGCGGTACTGCGTAGAACACATAAAATCTATTTAGGTAGTCACGCTAGAAAAAAAAATTAAAACAAAGACTATCATTTTGTTAACGGTAAAGTAAATTATAAAATAAACAAGGCATTATTAAAATATTTGTCTAAAAAAAAATTTTATGAAAAAATATGCGCTAATAACTCTGAAAAGTCGACTATATGCCAAATATGCCCTAACACCCAAGACATGCAAAACATGCACTATTAAACTTTATATTATTATTACTATTGTTATAAAACGGATTTGTATCTCAGTTAGCATGTTTTCCTGGGTAGAAAAAAAAAACATGCAAATGCATGTTACGAGCCCTGTTAATGAATTCGAAAGAAATGTTCTACGGAAAATGTTTGGCCCCATAACGATAGAAAAACGAATGAATGGAGAAAACTTCATAACGTAGAACTCCAAGGACTTTTCCAGAGGCCAAATATAGTAAGAAAGATCGTCAAGCGGAAACTAAGTTGGGCAGGATATGCTTGGCGCAAACAGGATACTTTAGTAAAATGGGTGATCGAAGAAGAGCCTAATGGAAAAAGACCACTAGGTAGACCTAAGTTATGATGGGAAGATAGTGTGAAGAGAGAAGTGGAAAAAAAAGATAGAGCCTGGTGTCAAATGGAGAGAAGTAGCAGAGGACAGGGATAGGTGGCAAAGTTTAACGTTTTTAGGATGATTTTAAGGATCGTAACTAAAGAAGAAGAAGAAGAATTTACTTAATAATTTTTTTTTTTTATAATTATTTAAATACATTAAGTAGGGTAATAAGATATTTCATTTTCATGTTAATTTAATTGTTCGATTTATAAATATTAATATTTTAATAAAAATGTTTAATATTTACTCACAATGAAAGCAATAAACTCGAGTTGCTTCTTCATAAAAAAATAATTTTTCCTCGAAA